TGTTACGCCGGTAAGAGTAACGCCATCTATCGCTGAATAGTCGAACGAATATCGAAGGATCTAGTAGCACCTAGAACTCTCATGGAACTACAACGCCATCTATTGTCAGATAGCGGAAACAATACTAGAGACGGAATATCCTCGATAATTCTAGGGAAGCCTAACAGCGAACGGATCACCTGAAGCGATGCGGAAGAAGCGAACTGAGAGTTTTAAAGTATTTGTGAAGTGTTTTAAGTGTTCTAAGTGTTGAATACAGTTTTAAGTTGTACTTTAGTTAAATTTTATTTATCCCGAACCCCAGCGTGTAACAATATGATTATAATGTTCCACGGACCGCGCAGGGAATTGAAGAGTCAACAGCGAATCTAGTCATCATTTTGCTGCTAGACGTGTTTCTTCTATCACGTAAGAACACCTTCGCTCCTTGCGGGATGACTGCAATCTGCTGCATGATATTGGATCTTGTGTTCAATAGGTTAAACACATTTGAAACAACACTTGGGGCTATTTTGCTTATACCAATTCAACTTAAATTCTCCTCTGTCGATATGTCTCTAGATTCTCTAAGCAGAGGCCTACACATCATAGCGCTCCTACCTCTTCAACTGATGGCGCAAGACTGTCCTTCTCATACCTAATAAATAGGCAGAATGACGATATGAGAGAGGGAGGAGTGAGGGTTGAGATGACGGCTAATAGATCATGGAATAGAAAAATTCGCTGTGCCGAACCCCCTAGTGGGATAAGGTAGTAAAGAAGAAGAAGATAGTGGCCACAAACCTTGCGGCGCGCCGAGTATTACCATTACTCCACTCAATATAAGACTTTGGGGGTGATTATAGGATAATGACCGAATAATTATAATACTACTGTAAGGAATAATAGAGAAGACGTAATTTTCTAATTGAAATTGTCTGACCGATTTGTTTGATAATGAAATAAGTGACCTTATTAATAGACCAAAAAAACCTAACAGCTAAATGTTCACGAATGTAAGCGCAGCCCCTAATCGATTAAGGTTATTATAACAGTTATAAAAGATATTCACTTTCAATTCTCTAGTTGTTTTGTTACTCAACACTTTCTTCGGATTTAACGTCAATACAGGCACCGTATTCTTACCCATTCCTTCTATGATGCACGAGCATAATAAATGAAACAGAAGAATTATATCCAGCATTTTGGTTTCACGGCAAACCATTATTGTACGTCCAATAAGAAGTGACACATCTGACAGAATGAAAAACGAATCGGCCAGTTGTGAAAAAGTTATTTCACAGGGTACCGTCGTCAAAAGACAAAATATAAAACCCTAATTTTTTTGGGTGTTAGAGCGTATTATGACCCTAAACGGACAGGTACCATAATCCTGCCTATTTTTGCTGGGAAGCAGTCTATGAATCTGAAAAATCAGACAGCGATTTAATAATATAAATATGGGGGGTAGATATAAGGATCTCAATGTGTGCATTTCAAAAATATCGGTCGAAAAGTTACAATTAGTGTGGGGCCACAATAGCATGTGATGTAATTTCAAATATAGCACATTGAGTTATTAAATAAATTAAAGTTTTCCACTATGCGAACACACTTTGTTTACAGTTTCTGCATTCATGTCATCCCGCTTGATTGCTTGCTACGCTAGGGCTCTTTTGGTCGATTTTAGAATTGTCATTTGTTGCTCACATCTGGACACATTTTCTACTTAGATGGGTGGACGAGCTCACGGCCTACCCGGTATTAAGTGGTCACCGGATCCACTAAACACCAACAACGTAAATTGCGCCACATACCTTGCGACATGAGTTCTAAATCTTGGCTTTACAGTACAAAGGCTGCCCCACTCTTCAAACCGAAACGCATTACTGCTTTTACTACTGGTCATGCTTAGAGACTCTCTCTCTGTGTAGTCAGTCATTAGGCCCTTACAAGTTTTTATAACTAAATATCATGAAACATTTTTAAATTACACAGGAAAAAGCTTACGTCATTTCCCTAAACGAATCGATGCAAAAGAATTGTCGATACATTACTTCGCTGGTATGTCAAACTGAAATAAGCCAAAAAAAAAAACAAATATCCGTGAGCAATTTCTATATTTATCTATTTATCTATATAACCTAAATAGCTAGGTACAAATTGAAAAAAAAAACAAGTATAAATTTTTAACCTCCATTACGTTATTATATAATTTGTTTTAAATCTAAAATACGTGAGCAACTGTTTTTAGTACTATTATTGTATTAGTAATTCGATTAAATTTGAAGTTAACGTGTAAAACTTTCCGCGTATTTATCAGTATGTAGATACGCATATCATAAAAAAACAATTGAATAAAACTAAGGCACACCATAGACCAAATAAATTTGACAGCTGTCAACCTGACATACGTCATTGTGACATATGGTAACACACACATGCGTTTAAATCATGTTTCTCAATGTTTACAGTGGAAAATAAAGACAATTTCAAAGAAAACTACTTTAGGCAAACTGGGACGAACAAGACCACGTGAAATTCTATATATTTTATTAAACTAGTATAACTGGCGGTCTTTGCGCTTTATTATCTGTGAACCTACTTATATCTGTAGAATTCATCAGTGTGCTGAGTGCGAGTTTTTTAACGTCCTCGATAGCGTAAAAGTAACTCAAATTTGTATGCAGTTGGAACAGCGCCCCTAGCGGCAAACGTACGCAAACTATCCCATTCCATACAAATTTGATTTAACTTTTACGCTATCGAGAACGTTAAAAAACTCGCACTAAGCGCACAGACATCGAACGGTGTGTGTGTGTTTGTGTGTGACATTGTACGGTGTGTCAAAATTCTCAAATAGTATGTACCTATCGGTCTAATTTAGATCCTACTAAGTTTATTAATAAGTTATTACCTTTAGATAAATTGGCAGTGTTTTACCAATGTATTTCGTTTATTCAGTTTTAATATTTTAATATACAAGACTAATGACAGATTTCATGATATTGTTTGTGATCCTTTCAATTTTGTGCACCATAGATAATATTTACATATTCCCAACTGACTGTGTATCGCACCTTTCGAATTGAAATGGCTTAATTCATAATAAAAAATTCTTGTTTTTTGGTAAACCCAAAAAATGTAATTGAAAAATTGTAATTCTTTACTGGATTTTAAGCCTTAAAGCGCATACCTTAAGATAATAATACAAAGTTTAAATTATGCGCTTGAGTTAAATAAAAGAGAACGAAAGTGTACTATGTTGTTTTCTAACCAAAATTTAATTAAACTGATTTATATATACAATATGGACCGTTTATTTTGAAAGTGGTGTAAGTCCATTTTTGAGAAAAATGAGCTATCACGTAATTCATGCTTAATTTAATGTAATTTTTTTATATATAACTAGTCCGTGTTTAATTTCTAAAAAAAATCTCATGTTTTTTACAACTTAAAATCGGTCGGTAAATGAAATTGCATAATCATCGATTATGAAAGTGGTGTAAGTCCAATTGACAGAGGTAGGTGGCATAATCAGACCTCATATGATTTGCCTGTATTTTTAAATCAACAAATATAGTAACCTTTAATTTTCTCGAAACAAAAGAAAATGGACTTACACCACTTTCAAAATAAACGGTCCATATATAGATTACATTTTTATAAGTACCTAGTACAAAGCAATAAAACTCATTTTCTTTAAACTTTTTAAATAAGCCACTTCAACTCTAAAGTTGCGATATGAGGCACCAATTCATCGAAAGACAGCAAAAACAATTACAACATTTTACCAAAGTTTTTAAAACAAATCAAACAAATCACACCTTTTATAGACTAGAAAGAAAATTACGCAAATAGAAATACGATTCATCGCCATATACAAATAAGTATAAATTATCAAGAGATTCAAATCCCAGTACACGTTCAAAGACTAAGCTTCTAAAGACGAAAACAAAAATGTTATTTTAAAGTAATCAAGACATTTTATTTAATCTACAAGACAATTTAAATGTGTGCCAGTGTATAAACTACACATGCTATAATCATTGACGTCACCGTCTCACTCACACAAACAAGAACATCTCATATTGTTGTTTTGACTATATATCGACGCTTGAAAGGCAAACGTGACTAAGCGACAATGCGTGAACTTTACAGTAGACTAATTTAAAGTTGAAATACCTGAAAACAAAATTTACCTTAACGGATCTAGCAGTAGCAGAATCTAGCTAGTAGCTGTAGGATTGAAATGATTTTAGTAGACCTAGAAATATATTTTTTTTGCGCATCGAATATGGTTAATGCCTATCATTTATGTACAAAGCAGTTATTGTCGCTTAGTCATGTTTGCCTTTCGAGCGTCGATATATATTCGCTATAATCACAAATCAAAATAAACACAATAAAACTTCATGGAAAAATATAAAACTAGGTGACCAGGCAAACGTTGTGTTGCCATATAATTTATTTCCAGGAAAGATAAATAATCTAGATACCGACTGCAGCGCCATCTGCCGGGCTGATTTGTGAATCTAAACCATCCAGGGCGCCACTCAAACGCATACAAAAAAAACGTTCAAATCGGTCCAGCCGTTTAGGAGGAGTTCAGTGACAAACAGACACACAGAAGAAATATATGTATATATAATATATATAAAATAAAATAAACTATTGAAGAACACCAACCTGCTTTTGAAGTAACAAAATCAAATCGAAATTTTAAAGTGTTATAACAGTCTCGAAAACAAACCAAGATGATGATGATGTTAATCATGATGATGATGACCGGTGACCGCAGCGGAGAACACTAAAATAATAATAAAATATCGCCTTTTCGCATTAAAAGTGTACAATTTCCAAAAATATTCGAAATGGAGTTATATGTTTTCACTACTATTAACAAAATTAATACAGACAATGTAACTGGTAAAAAATGAAAAAAAAAAGAGTTGCAAATATGATTAATATTAAAAATATTACATGTTAACCCTTTACAGCACTCTCCTGTAATATTAGTAAGTTTTGAGATTATACAGCTTTAATGCGAGAAGACGATACGTTCACGCTCAACGTATGCTACTCCTCAGGTCCATGAGAGCGCTGGCCGTGATGACGCCGTGCTTGTGTCTGCTGACGCAATAATCGGCGTCGCCTATCGTCACGGTCGAAAACGAGGTCGAATTCCTGCGCTGCTGCGTGCTCTTGGCCTCGACGACCCTGGTCTCCGAGGGGCTCTGACGCGGCAGAGTCTGGAAATAATCGCCTTGGCAGTTGGGCTCGTTCCAGAAGCTTCGATTCTCGTACGGTCTTAACGCTTTTAAGGGCTTAGTGACGGTCTGCTCCGATCTGAACTCTTTGAGCGATCGCTCCGGCTTCGATTTCGTTCTAGACTGTTCGGCTGACGCGCTCAGCTTAGCTTTCGTACTTGTTCTAGAAAATTCCGCGTCTTGAACGCTCTTGCTGCCTTTTATCGTTGACGGTTGAGGGTAGGTTTTGTTCCTAAGTCAAAGCAATTGAGAATTATTAATTTAACTAATAGCTGACCCGGCAGACTTCGTAGTGCCTCAATCGATAAATAAAATACCTAAACTTTTGTACGAAATAAACTTAAAACAAACAAAAGGAATCCGTCCGACGGGGTATACATCAAAGGGAAAACAAAATTGTTATTTTTATTTAATTCCGAGCATTTTCATTTTTATCTATCTTTTAAACCTTCTCTGGACTTCCACAAATAATTCAAGACCAAAATTAGCCAAATCTGTCCAGCCGTTCTCGAGTTTTAGCGAGACTAACGAACAGCAATTCCTTTTTAATTACTACTTTTTCATGGACTACCCACACTAGACAAATTAATTAATACGTATTGCAACTAATCGAATAGCAGTCAACACGCAATGAACTTCGAATATTTTAAAAATATCCTCATACCCCGAAAAATGCTTCTTGGCGTGTCCATTGCTGCTCGAACTCTTGGCCATGATGCTGTACAGTTTGTTCCTGTAGTCGTCCACGGACATCTGTTTGTCGTCTCTCAAGGGCAGTAGCACGTCTGACGGGAGGGTGGGCTCGTCTCTTTCACGATGAAACCTGGAAACCGAACCATTATTTTAATGTTTCTAATCAAATTCTATTCCAATAATAAAAAAATTAGTAAAGTTATTAAGGTTTAACTGGTAGTAGTTAATAAGGTTTTGTGAGTCCGCTAGGGTAGATACCACTACCATATATCTGTCGTGAAGTAGAAATGCGTCGCTCACTGAGTTTCTCGCCGGATCTTCTCAGTGGATCGCGTTTCCGATCCGGTGGTAGATTCTGCGAAGCACTGCTCTTGCTAGGGCCAGTGTTAGCGTCACGCCGGTTTGAGCCCCGTGAGCTCACCTACTAGTTAAGGTTACGCTGAAATAGCCTCTCAAGGCTACCAGCTCTGGTTAAAAAAAGAAAGAAAGAAAGAAATGAGTTCCGTTTGATTGCACTGAATACATTTAGTACTCATGTTTCAATATCTATGGGCTCCGGGAACCACTGAACACCAGACGGGCCAAGACCTCATCTACTTAAGCAATAAAAATGAAGGTTCACATGTTGTGATTTCTCATTCATTTTATAAAATTTAAAATTTTATTAACATACTATTAGTTTTGAAATGCACTTACTTGGAGACGTATTCGTGATTGAGAGCTACTTCGGCGCTGAGCCTCTTCGCAGGATTGAAGACCAGCAGCTTCTGGACAAGGTCGGAAGCGTCGCGAGGGGTGCACGCCAGTCTCGTGGCCAACGAACCGCCCCCTCCGTTATGTGACGCCTGTTCTCGTATCAAAGCCGACCCGTAGCCACTGCATACGGCTGTTATGTCTTCGACGGGAAACGAGATAGAAGATATTTTAGAACAAAGCTTCAAGTCGTCGTTTTAGTCGTCGTGGTCTAAGGGATAAGATGCCCGGTGCATTCGTGTTGAGCGATGCACCGGTGTTCGAATCCCGCAGGCGGGTACCAATTTTTCTAATGAAATACGTACTCAACAAATGTTCACGATTGACTTCCACGGTGAAGGAATAACATCGTGTAATAAAAATCAAACCCGCAAAATTATAATTTGCGTAATTACTAATAGTAGGTCTGCAAGGGTAGGTGCCACCACCCCGCCTATTTCCGCCATGAAGCAGTAATGCGTTTCGGTTTGAAGGGTGGGGTAGCCGTTGTAACTATACTGAGACCTTAGAACTTATATCTGGAGGTGAGTGGTGGCATTTACGTCATAGATGTCTATGGGCTCCAGTAACCACTTAACACCAGGTGGGCTGTGAGCTCGTCCACCCATATAAGAAAAAAAAAACTAATAACACACGATCATCCGGCCTCAAACTAAGATTCCCTGTGTTCTCCTTACCAGAGACTGACGTACATACGTTTTATGTGACCAGGCTCCGGTGGCCACTTAACACCAGGTGGGCCGTGAGCTGTTCCCCCTATTTAAGCAATAAAAAAAAAAAATATATATATATATATTAATATACAAGAATTGCTCGTTTAAAGGTATAAGATGTTGTTCAATTGTTGCTCACCTTCGTTCGATGGCCTCGGGAGTGTCGCCATGATCCTCTCAATTTGATTGACGGTCGATGTCCCGGGAAACAGAGGCTCCCCAACCAGCATCTCAGCCAGGATACAACCAAGGGACCACATGTCGATTCCTTTTGTGTAACTGATAATATTACATACGTTCTTATTAGTATTATCTGTAGTAATACAAGATGGCGGAACGCTGTCGATTCTAGAAGCATCTGTTAACGAATAGATGAAATACGCCAAAAAAATTAGTAAATTCTACTAAATAAAATTTTCAAGTAATCCCGCATTTTTATTTACAAGTTCCAACAAAATACGATTTTATAGAAAATCCACCTAAAAATAGAAAATAAATTTTAATAAATTTGAATTAAAAATAGTGTAAGAAAAAATTATTTTATTGTAAAAAAAGCATGGGGTGCTTTTCAGGATATTATCAAAATAACCCTTCTATTCATATCTGTTCATAAAATATTTATAGCTACTGATTATTTTACCCCTCGAAGCCTATCTTATAAATGTTGCCAGTGCGAATCAAATTTTTCCCGACTTTCATCTATTCCTTAATATCTGCAAATTGTAACGTTACGATTTAGTGTGTCATTTAATATACTTACTTCTTGCTAGCTATAAGTATCTCCGGGGCTCGGTACCAGCGCGTGGCGACGTAATCAGTCAGACAAGGATCTGCGCCATCTTCTCCGCCAGAGTACACACTAGAGACTGAGCGAGCCAGACCGAAATCTGCCAACTTCACTCTGGATAACAATAATTATTTGAATATAACAAGACGGTGGTGACAGACCGTGTGTGGATATGTGGGAAGATCCATGACCACCCTTCCCACCATATGGCACCCCTGCTACATGTCACACATGGGCATCAGTGTCCTTAGTGCGATTTTTTTTAACGTTGGCCTACGTTTGCCGCTAGGGGCGCTGTTCCAACTGCATACAAATTTGAGTTAACTTTTACGTTATCGAGAACGTTAAAAAACTCGCACTAAACACATTAACCTCAAACTAGGTTTCTCTGTATTACGGGAACCGAAAACTGATGTGCACACTTTTATACGTTTTAATAAATACATATTAAACTATCTAAAAGAAACTTATCACACGAATGTTTGCCCATTGTGGGAAACGAATCGACAACCTAATTAATATGTGTGAATTTGTAACACAGCCTTCAGTACCAAGTTTGTCAGTGTCGATGATAAATAAAAAAAAAGAACACCAAAAATTACTAGTCAAATCTTGCAAAAATGACCGCACATTTCAAATATTATTATCGTCTAAATCTGTTCACCTAGAAAAAGCTCTGAAGTTAACAAGCACCCTTTAAAAAAGTCGACGTCTCCCAAAACACGTCATTTCGGATCCTCCCGATCCAGTAACGGTGTTTTTAAGTACCCCAAGCACAGGTCATCGTTCTCGTCAAACCCGTCGCTTACGACGAAGGGCTCGGCGAGTAAATTAAACCCACAGACACAGCCGACTGAGTTTCTCGCCGGATCTTCTCAGTGGGTCGCGTTTCCGATCCAGTGGTAAATTCTGCGTACCACGGCTCTTGCTAGGGTTCGCGTTAGCAACGTCATCAGGTTTGAGTCCTGTGAGTTCAGCTACTAATTCGGCGAATCTAGAACAAGCCCTGGAGGTTCCTAGAATAGGTGTAGGAAAAAAAAAAACTGAAATCACAACTCACCTACAAGCGCTGTCTATTAACACGTTACTGGGCTTTTGATCGCGATGTATCACGTTCCCAGAGTGTATGTACTTCGTCGCTTTAAGCATTTGATACATTATGTACCGTTTGTGGATGTCTTTCAATATGTTCCCGCGTTTGATGACGTTATGCAGGTCCGTTTCCATGTATTCGAATCCCAGGTATATGTCGTTGTTGTTCAGAGCTCTACAAATATGAATAGGACAATCAATTGTCGTATCCGACGGCTGAACGTCGCGAGGAGTTTTCCATTTTTTTTTTATTGCCCTTGTAGGCAGACGAGCACACGGCGCGCCTGATGGTGAGTGGTTACCGTCGCCCATGGACTTCAGCAATGCCAGGGGCAGAGCCAAGCCGCTGCCTACCGCTTAATACTCTCCACAAGCCTCGTTTGAAGAAGGACATGTCATAGCGCTCGGGAAACACCGTGGAGGGGAGCTCATTCCATAGCCGGATGGTACCTACGTGGCAAAAAAGACCTTTCCTTCTCAATCTCTTTCTTCGGTCAAATAGCGTGCATATTAAATGCTTGCCGAGAAGCGAAATCAAATGCCCAACAGCTAAAGTGAAAGGCTATTTCGGTTAATACGCGACATTCATCTTTGTAATTAAAGGTGCATTTTATTTGGTACTAGCTGACCCGGCAGACTTCGTAGTGCCTCAATCGATAAATAAAAGACCTAAACTTATGTATAAAATAAAATTAAAACAAACAAAAGGAATCCGTCTGAAGGGGGGCACATCAAAGGGAAAACAAAATTGTTATTTTTATTTAATTCCGAGCATTTTCATATTTATCTACCTTTTAAACCTTCTCTGGACTTCCACAAATAATTCAAGACCAAAATTAGCCAAATCGCTCAAGCCGTTCTTGAGTTTTAGCGAGACTAATGAACAGCAATTCATTTTTATATATAGAAAAGAGAGAAGAAGAAGATTATCATCAACAGATCGATGTTTTTAATTTAACTTCAACAAAGTTTACTCCATTGAAATAGCTGATGAAGTTTGTTTTGTTATAATATTTTTTCCAAATTTTAAAACTTTAAGCGCGTTTAAACTTTTAATTCTTGTGTGAAGTTGCAAAAATGTTGCTTAAAACAACATGAATAGTAGTAGACATAGTTGCAATTACGATACGGTTGTAGATTCAGCAAAGCACTGCACTAGCTATCTCAGGTTGAGCCCCCAAATAGAGCCTTAGGCTACGGTGGATTAGGTAGGGAAAAAATTACATACTTTTTTCCATTTTCGCGTATTGTAAACATAACTAACAATATTTTTTCGGCTTAACCTCGTTTTTTTTAAGTGAACACGCGCGATTTTTTTTATTGTTTGGTGGGTGGGCGAACTCACGGCCCACCTGATGCTATGTGGTTACCGGAGCCTATGAATAAATAATTATAATATAATATGAATAAATAATTATAATATAATATGAATAAATAATTATAATATAATTATTTATAATTATAATATAATTATTTATTCGTAGAACGGAGCCCATAGACATCTACAAAGTAAATGCCACCACCCACCTTGAGACATGAGTTCTAAGGTCACGCTCTTAACAGTACAACGGCTGCCCCGTCCTTTTAACCTGCTTCACGGCAGAAATAGGCAGGGCGATGGTACCTACCCGTGCGCACTCACAATACGTCCTACCACCAGAAATTACGCAAATTATAATTTTGCATTTTTATTACACGATGTTATTCCTTCGCCGTTAAAGTCAACCGTAAATGTTTGTTAAGTACATATTTCATTAGAAAAATTGGTACCTGCCGGCGGGATTCGAACACCGGTGCATCGCTACATACGAATGCACCGGACGTCTTAACCTTTAGACCACGACAAAATTTTAAATAATACACGGTTACCAGCCATAGATTATTGTCGAACAAATATCTACATCTCACCTATGTATGCTGTGTAGTTTAACGATGTTCGGGTGATTTCTGAACGATTGCAAGAATATAATCTCCCGGAACGTCCTCTGCGCGTCGGTCTGGTTTCTGAACGCGTCAAATATCTTTTTTATTGCGACCACGTCTTTGGTTTTCTTGTCGACAGCCTTCCAAACAATCCCGTAGGCCCCTTTGCCCAATCTCTTTTTAATTTCGAATCTCTTTAATATGTGCTCGTCTATTTCGGACATATTTTTTTCCGAGCTCTTTTTCTGTTGATGCTTATGTCCGTCCTTCTTCTTGTCATCTCTTTTCTGGTTCTGATTCATTTGCGTGTAACAACAAAACGTTTAGACTCGCCTCTGCACGCGAACATTCTGAAATTCAAAATTTCACGAAATCGATATTAAAATTAATAGCTTCGAGACATCGCCGAATCGAATTGATGACAAAATGCAAATTTCTATCGCCGCTTCGACCTAATTTGAATAATACAAATTACACGTGATGTTTAATCGTTGTAAAATATCGTCTCTCTGTACCTACATACGCTAAGCAACAGAAATAAATCGATAGTTTTTGAATGATTTTTATTTCTATTTCATTTTTTTTAATTCGTATTTCGTGATTTTAAAACGAGTTTTATGGATACAAAAGGCAACATCTACTTACAATATACAGAAACTATGTATCACAGTTCATTTTTTTGCAGTATTTTAATGTAAATTTGCTTTTATGAATTGGAGATTACACGGCTCCATCCACGTACGGCTTGACAGTTGAGTTTCATTTGTTTACAGGTTACAAACAAAAAGCCGTTGCCATGCCAACGGTGATTGACAACTAGGTACGTATCATTGTGATTGTTAAATCGATAGCAGATTGTATTAATCGATGTTCTTGACATAATGACATAGTTTTTTATGAATAATTTCAGCTGTTTAGTGTGTTGTGGGTGGTTTAATTCGGATACAAACGAATTAGATCACGTGGCTGCGAAAGTAGGGTGGTTAAACTTATTTGAATCGATGTTGCCAATTTTCTTAATTTCAACATTTTTTTTATTTATTGCTTAGATGGGTGGACGAGCTCACAGCCCACCTGGTGTTAAGTGGTTACTGGAGCCCATAGACATCTACGACGTAAATGCGCCACCCACCCTGAGATACAAGTTCTAAGGTCTCAGTATAGTTACAACGGTTGCCCCACCGTTCAAACCGAAACGCATTACTGCTTCACGGCAGAAATAGGCAGAGCGGTGGTACCTACCTGTGCGGAGTTATAAGAGGTTCTTCACCAGTAAAAAAATAAGTTGTTTATGCTTATGTGAATAGATGTTAAAATTTCTAACAATTTTCTCATTTTCCTTATAAATAGGAAATATTAATAAGAAATAATATTGCTTCGAGCTACGGTACTATTAAGGTGCTTAATTTCATTATTTCTCACTATAAATGCCATATTGTTATTGCCTACCGTTATTTCTAGAAAATTCACTTATGGCGCGCTTGCTGAAAAGATAAAGATGGAGCCAAGCTATTGGCGACTTTGAGACCTCGCTTCATTGTCTTGCATAAAGCACTTCTCTGGTACCGTGACTTAGTGCTTAACCTATAGTGTGAATATTATTGACAATTCACGAAATATTTAAGGCGTCTATAACTTCAAAATTTAAGTTGCCGTGGCCTGAGGGATAAGACGACCGGTGCACTCTTAACGAACAATACAACTGTGACAGTGTTCGAATCCCGCAAATAGCAAATTTTCTAATAAAATACATATAAAACACAAATTCTCAAATGATTTTGACGATAACGAAATTATCATACTGCAAAATCGATACCGCAAAAAATGTAATTTTTGTAATCACTGGTGGCGGTGGTAAGGCCTTTTGTGATCGCCACTCTGCCTTATTCTGAAGCGAAATAGTAATGTTTTCTGCTTTGAAGAGTGGGATTATGCTTTACAATTGAGACTTAGGCCTCGTGTTTCAAGGCGGTATTTATTTAAGCACTTAAAACCGGGTGCAACGTGACCTAGTTTATAAGTTTAAAAAACACATTTAAAACCCCAACAACAACAACAACACATTTACTGGTGGTAGGACCTATTGTGAGTCCGCGCGGTTGGGTACCACCGCCCTGCCTATTTCTGCCGTGAAGCAGTAATATCGTTTCGGTTTGAAGGGTGGGGCAGCCGTTGTAACTATACTGAGGCCTTAGAACTTATATCTCAAGGTGGGTGGCGCGTTTACTTTGTGGATGTCTATGGGCTCCAGTAACCACTTAACAACAGGTGGGCTGTGAGCTCGTCCACCCATCTAAGCAATAAAAAAAAATTAAAAAAAAAACCATGGCAATATTTTTCCTTTGCCAATCGTACCTATTATGCGCCATTACGTTGCTCCTTTATAACAAACAATATGTAAGCTGTGAGTGACCAAAATTTTTAGGATTAATTAAAAACGCACACACAAATTGAACACACATTTATTAAGAGTTAATAACAAGAAATATAGATTTTTATTTGCCCTTTTAATACTTTCGTTTCACAATTAATATTTTTTTGTAAAAAAAAATTATTAACAATAAACATACCTTCGAATATCAAAACTTTAAACTTTCAATAAACTTGTATTTCAACACGAACATGAAGATCAACAAGGAATGCAAATTAAAACAGCTTAATAAAAAAATATAACAGCGTTTCTGAAGATTAAAAAAAAAAACTTAAAAAAAATCGTTTGTAAAACGGAATGACATTTAAAAATAATCAACATTAGCGCTTAAGTACATAAAAATAAATGCAAAATCTTTCGGTTAATTAGTGATTGACTGCGCTAATATTACTTTGTGATGCCCTTTTTATACTAGAAAAATTATATACCTACGCCTTTTTTTTCCCAAGCTTTAATTGAATATTATGCAATTTCGAAAAGGGCACATCTCTGAAAATGTAAAATGTTGAGGAAATGAAAAAAAAACATTATTTTCTAAAGCAATGTATAATTTAAAATGTAAATTTTTGAGATTTATTTTAATATTAATTAGTCATTGAAAATTACTGGAATTATTATAAAATGGGTGTAGGTAAGCCTCAAAACTACATGTATATCAAAAAACGTATTTGACAAAATATGCGACATGTGCCCTTTTTGAAATTGCATATTCAATTATCCAGTTGCACTAGAATGCTTTCAACTCACGATGGTTAACGTGCGAAACGGAGAAAAGACTAAAAGAGTTTATACATTTACGACAAAGAGAATCGTGACTGAGATTCAATAGTTCTTTAAAAAAATAATTCTACAGACAAATAATACACTTTAAAAGACAATAAAACGTGGCGTTTTGACGTTTTCGTAACTGTCACTTAAAGTGTCTGTCATTGCGTAGTGGCGCGAAAAATATCACAAAATAAATTACACAAGTTAAAAAAAATATATAAAATACGTACATAAATATTTGTATTGGAATGGGATTTTAAAAGCTAACCGACTGAAATGATCCGAAGTCTGTAAAATATTCGAAACTTCATAATTACAATATAGTGAATAGAAAATAATAAAAGCTAAATTAAACTTTAATAAAAATTAGTTAGGCTTTAGAATTGTTAAAAACAAATTTATCAACATTCGAAGCATTATGTTTTGATTACAACTTGATTAAATCACTTAAACTAATTAGTAATAACACACTATCCACTACACATTTTAATATTTGAATCGTTTAGGTCTCTTAGAAGACAATATTTTGTTTAGAATTCCCGATTAGTGTGACACAATTAATTATATTGTGTGAGTTTGTTGGTTCGCGCTACCATTCTCCGTCTTTTATTTATTCATGTTTTTTTTATACATTATACAGGATGTATTGGAACCGAACTCAAAAACTATTTGGTAACAATGTAAGACCATTTATTTTAAAACAATTAACTTTGGAAAAATAAGACCTTATACATTGCCCTCAATGAAATCTATACTTAATACATAAATCTACAGTGGTTTTTACGGATGTTCCGTTATAACTACTGAACCGTGCATCCGATTGACTTGAAACTTGGTATCCATGTAAAAAATACATGTACTTAATGGATAGGCTAATATTGATATGAGTGTTGGCCTCCCTACACCAGTTGCGGGGGCGTTAATGATGAGAATCTTTGTGGGGGTGAGAAATAATAATGTTAATTTTAAATGCCCAGCGAAGCGGGCGGGTACAGCTATTACAATGTAAGATGACCCACAGAAGACGCGCCTGCCATGTGTTACATTGCGGCTCCAGGCAACATGAGCTCTCCGTACCGACAATGTACATGCGTACATGTATTTACGCTTTCGGTGTACGAAATTCGACCGTAATCATTAATGCCTCAAGATTAAGATTCATTTTCTGAACTACATTTATTTAGTTAGGTTTTTTTTTTTGTAAAAGTTGGAAAAAAATATTCTAAATTTCGTCAATTTATTGAATAAAAAAGTTTACTATTACTGCTTTACTACTACGAATCAATAAAAACAAAAAAAAATATAGGAATTTCGTGACACACAAACGTAGGAGAACAATGTCCTGTCTTTGCTTATTTCATTTTCATTAGATTAATACTGTACAAAAATATCAGCCGCGGAAACGTTCTCCACACACCCTGTATAACGCTGTTTATTAATGCAATCTTTATACTCATTCATATACGGTGCATAATCGCCCAATAAAACCTAACCTAACCAGTGTGCTTAGTGAGAGTTTTTTAACGTTCTCGATAGCGTAAAAGTTAACCCGATTTTGTATGCAGTTGGAACAGCGCCCCTAGCGGCAAACGTAGGCAAACGATCCCATTCCATACAAATATTAGTTAACTTTTACGCTATCGAGAACGTTAAAAAACTCGCACTAAGCACACAGAGCTCTTTATTTATATAAACTCCCCTTTCAAAATATTGTCTTAGTAAACAAATTAATTCATTTAAAAATAAATACATAAATAAAAAAAAAACAATTAAAATACACATGTTTTAAGCTTAAATCATAAATGAGAAAGTCAGGTACATGTATTCTAAGATTTCGCTTACGTTTTTAATGTGAGACTAGTATACGCCAACAGCTATGGAGTATCGTACAAATTACAACCAACCCGCCATTTTGTATATTACATTACACTGAAAAACTTATTATTAATTAATAAAACAAGCAAGAACGTAGATTATTTGACAAGTCTAGTTAAATACCTTCCTAAAAAAAAGATGAAGGCACACAAAACGGGTCAAACTTAACCATGTTTAGAGAAGAAGGGGCGGATGTATTCTCTTCTTTTCCTCCTCGTCGAATCGTCCGAGGTCGATGGAGGAGGGAGAAGGCAGACCGCACGGCCACTCCAAGGATTCAGCTTCGTGCGTCATTACGTGTTCCGCCTCCACTGTAACAAGAGTGAAGCGTTTTAGCCAGCGGCACTATTCTTTACGCTGATGACTCAATCAGTCAGGTGTACTTGGGCCGGCCGTGTACACGTCGGATCCTCCCGATCCACTAACAGTGCTTTTAGGTACTTCAAGCACCGGTCATCGTTCTCGTCGAACACGTCGCTCGTGACGAAAGGCTCGACGAGTAAATTAACCCTCAGACACAGCCCACTGAGTTTCTCGCCGGATCTTCTCAGTGGGTCGCGATTCCGATCCGATGGTAGATTCTGCGAAGCACGGCTCTTGCTAGGGTTCGTGTTAGCAACGTTGTCAGGTTTGAGCCCCGTGAGCTCACCTACTAGTTAAGGTTACGCTGAAATAGCCTCTCAAGGCTATCAGCTTAGGTAGGAACACAACGGCCGTGTGACTGGTTACAGTTTTAAACGCTGTTTCCCTCCTACATATACCGGTTCTGTCCCGATCTGGGTTCGAACATTCGGGTCAGAGTCCAGGGAGGTCATTTAGCGGGTCGCTTCGGCAGTGTCTACTTTTTTTTATTTATTGCCCCTGTAGGCAGATGAGCATACGACCCACCTGATGGTAAATGGTTACCGTCGCCCATGGACTTCAGCAATAACAGGGGTAGGGCCAAGCCGCTGCCTACCGATAATTAATTAATGTGGTAATGTGGATTAATGTGGTAGCCTCGGTCCGAGAAAGACACATAATAATATAATAATACCCAGATCAAACAGTTTGGTCTGATTTGTATGCATGTCATTATTTAATCACGACTAAAATTTTTGGAGGCATACAATCAACACAGTCATAACCCTATCTTTGTTATCTATAATAATTCAAGTTGTACTTGAATTTTTATCGTCAATTAGAAAAAATAAATGTAATTCATATCAATAATTCAAACCACAACAGTTCTGGTTTTGTGGTTAATTATGAATCACATACATAAAATAATATTAACAGTTCATGAAAAAACATTTTTAAATCAGAAAAGCATATTTTAATATGGTTGGAAAAAAAAAACTGTGTACTGAGTTATGGTTATGTGTCATTCTGTGTTCACAATATCGCAATACGAAAGCCAATTTCCACTCTGACACTTGAGATTGAGATATCAATTATTTATGTATTGTTTTTGTTGTATTATTATTTAAGACATATATTAAGTGTATAATCTATGAACAGAATACTGATACCTGTGCACCTGAAATCTATATATATATTTAAAAATGAACTGTTGTTCGTTAGTCTTGCTAAAGCTCGAGAACGGCTGGACCGATTTGGCTAATTTTGGTCTTGAATGTTTTGTGGCAGTCCAGAGAAGGTTTAAAAGGTAAATAAATATGAAAATGCTCGGAATTAAATAAAAATAACAATTTTGTTTTTCTTTTGATGTGTCCCATGTCGGACGGATTTCTTTTGTTTGTTTTATGTTTATTTTATACAAAAGTTTAGGTCTTATATTTATCGATTGAGGCACTACGAAGTTTGCCGGGTCAGCTAGTTTCTAAATATAAACAAGTCACTAAAATAATACAGTTTATTTAATGAATATGTTCCATGAACTTCTAGAACACTCAGATAACATATCCTCATACGACAGTTCATAATGATAAAGGTTTCAGATTAATTGAGTAATTATTTACAAACACACAGAGATAAATTTACCAACAGTCAATCGAAGTTGCTAATTAACTCAAGCTTATACTTAATTTTTACTCTTTGGAATTGCAGCATTGTAATTCACAGAATTGTCCTTATCTGAGATCACAGTCAAATGTGCCAAATTTTATCTATTAAAATTACTTTACAAGTCATGCGACATCGAATTGAGATCTATTACATTTTCTTTAACATTGTATGGACAGGGAGAAAATGATGGACCATCTGGAGTTCAAACAGATTCAGGGTACTACATGGTTAGTGACAGGTTATCCAACCTATCCAACCATTATATCATAACATAATTGAGATGTAGATACATCTCATGTTTAAAGGTTAGATATTCACATTTTAATATCTACACTAGTCTAAAGGCATTGCCACCACCAAGGACAATTCCTTGGTGGTCACTTGGTGGCAATGCCTGGGCTCACTTTTCTGTATATGCAATAAAAAAACACAAGAAACCTTTTGGGTTGTTCAATGTAAATTTTGAATTATTTTAGTCCAAATAAAATTTTAACTATTTTATTATTAAAGCGACCCTATACTAAGTGCAGTGTTTTTTTTTCCTACCTAAGCTGATAGCCTTGAGAGGCTATATCAGCGTAACCTTAACTAGTAGGTGAGCTCACGGGGCTCAAACCTTACGAAGTTGCTACCACAAACCCTAGCAAGAGCCGTGCTTCGCAGAATCTACCACCGGATCGGAAACGCGACTCACTGAGAAGATCCAGCGAGAAACTCAGTGGGCTAGAGTACAGTAGTGAGTGCTGGGCAAATTGTCCTCAAAGACCTATAAAGGCCGATTTTCTCAGAAAATTCCTGTTTTTAAGATGCTGTTATTTGCTTGACTTGTATCTATATATCAATGTAACTAAACAAAAATCAAGCCTGGATAAAAACTATAAATTTTTACTGAATTTCAAATATTACCATGCGTGTAAAACATGTTTTTCTTATTTTTAAATTACATTAATTTAGCTTTTATTTAATATGTTGCAGTATAGGATCAACAATATATAGTCAGGGCAATTTTTAGGTCACTAAAGAATTCTAGTGTTTTTTAAACTTTTTTCTTATTAAATTTTGTTTTAAAAAAAAGTATACTCACTTCGAATCCTATGCACTTTATTCCCATATGCAAGGTCCCAGTAGTACAAAGTGATGAATGTCAACGGGACAAGCGGCATCAGTAGGTACTGTCTTTTCGTCCTTCTGAAACTGTTATTGGCTAAATAAATAGGAGTTTTTGGTAAGTCATCAATTTGCTACCAAATATTAGAAGGCAACAGCTCGGCTACTCTCCTGGCAAGAACAACATACATGAGAAATGACATTAATGAGGTGAGCTATTACTAGTTCATATGCACATTTACAACAAGAGATATTAAAAAAATTGCGTAAAAATACTTCATGGTCGAATTTAGTCAAAAATTTATAAAATAAAGTAAATCTGATTTTTTATTCTTTAGACTTTAATTTTGGCTATAACTTTGATCATGTTGCCAACACAAAGAAACAAAAAATAAAGATACAAAAAAAAAAAACAGCCAGTACGTTAAAAAACAAAGTACCTACCCTGTAAACAATCCCGTTGCGGTCGTTATATAAAAAGCAGTAATCCACAGACATGTGTCTCTGTTTTTAGCTATTTCCAAGGCCATTTGGCGTTCTTGCATTTGATATTGTAGTTGTATTTGTCTCTCCATCTGTAACAATAAATCACTGGTGTATCACCGTAACAGCTTTAAATAAATAATGACACCATCGCAGTAAAATATTAAATACCTTGACTTTGTTTATAGTTTGCAAGAATTCTTGGTTCCTTTTGTAATTTTCTTCCATGCTGACGCTGAACAAATTACCCATTATCCTTTTATTTACGTGTCCGATAGACCGACAAAACAAAAGAGTAATTTAGACTATCTAATGTAGGTACCTACGTCTTTTCTCTAGATCTATCAGCTGTTTACTGTCAAATACAAATAGCCATGATTACAGAGTAGGTAGGTAAACCAATGCAAAGTGTTTTTTAGATTACGGATACAAATACTGAAAGCTGCAATAAATTAATTTAATATTAATATTAAATTCCAAAAGATAAATACCCTAAAATTTATCTTCGCAGACGTACAAAAGTAATTGTTCTAAAATTAAATTACTTTATTTTTATCCATTATCGTGTAAAAAATCTTTAAAATCGATTTTGTTGGTTGCGTTGTTGAAATCTACCATTGAAGTTTTTGCTAGGAATGCGAGGAGTGAAAACATGTAAATTGTTTTATTTTGTTTGTTTTATTTTAGTTTTGTTCTAATTTTATTAGAATATTTCGAGCTTAAATCTTTAATATATATGTTAGCCATAGCTTATTAACCAAAGTCATCATCATCATTTAATTTTTTGTCGCATTACCTCATCTAGTTTCTTCTTCTTCTTTTTCTTTCTTCTTTAGTAGGTATAGATTAGTAATTTTTAGTTTAGTATTTTTATTTTAGTTGGCGGTACTTATTAATTCCATGCTTCTAACATATTAAAAATTCAAATGAATTGATTGCATTTCGTATCACTCTTTGTCATTTTTCATAGCACACAGTATTGTCATACTAAAACCACTGAAGTATGAAACCTACACCTAAAAAAAATCAACAAAGAAACTGGTACATATGTCAGCTGTCCAAATTGCAGCTTGTGTTACCTATGTCAAAACTCCCGCTAAATTTATATGATGTATTGAATAGTACTGTAAAATTAGTTAAAGTTATTTGAATCAAATCAAAATGGGTATTCTAGGTTTATCTAAGTTAATTGCTGACATAGCACCTCATGCTGTCAAAGAAATGGAAATCAAAAATTACTTTGGTAAGACATTCACTTCATAAATTATACTTATTTCTTGAGATATAAGCCTCGTGTATAAAAAATACTATTTTTTCGTATTCTCAGGAAGAAAAATAGCTATTGATGCTTCTATGAGCTTATATCAGTTCCTTATCGCCGTAAGAAGTGAAGGTAAGTAATGTTTTGATTCATAAAATTCTTTGCGGATGTAAGAATTTTGTTGGTTGAGATATGGTATAGGTGGTCTTCTTATTAGATCGTTATGAAAACTCTTGATAAAAGATAAAGTAAGAGTATATTAATAATGTAACATAATGGTGAAATTATGGTTTTGCTGGTTCTGAATGGTTCTTCATCAATATTCCTTTAATATTCAAATTATAACTTGAGACATTCTTCACAAACAATAATAATAGGTATGCCATTATTTACATAAAGATTTTTCTAAAAGATTAATAACGACAACAAAAGCAACTTCAAACTAATCAAATTCATTAATTATAGTAATTTTTGTTTAGTATCCACTCATCTATTTTTAATATATCCCAGATAAATATATATAAGATTAAACTGTAATATCACATAGTGCTTGAAAAAATACATTTCATTTAGTAGCCACATTATTTCATTAAGTTTTTAATGAATCTTACTTTTTTCCATCCTATTCCTTAGTAGCCTAAGCATTGACTAGTAATAAAAGTCTTTGTCAATAATTTGATAGGAAATGCACCACAAATTACTCATTAATTATTTTAGGAGCCCAACTAGTCTCTGTAGACGGAGAGACTACATCACATCTGATGGGTACATTTTACCGTACTATAAGACTGGTAGAAAATGGGATTAAACCAGTGTATGTCTTTGACGGGAAACCTCCAGACATGAAGGCTCATCAGTTGAATAAGAGAGCAGAAAGGAGAGAGGAAGCAGAGAAAGAATTGCAAAAAGCTACTGAAGCCGGTAAGGTTGTTCTATGATTTACTCTGGAAACTTTGCAAATAACAACACATGGTACATTTGTGTTAGGCAGTTGTCTGTTTGTGACCAAAAGTTGCAAGTGTCCAAAAGTAAATTGTAATAAAACGAAAGTAAATTGTAATTTAAGCATTAATCTACCTTTTGTCATTGTTTTGTGAGTGAAAAACATATATTGAAATATCCTGAAACTTCCTTACCTAATGATTTTCGCATTTATAGCATAAAATTTAAAACTACAAAAACATAAAAACATTTCAGGTGACACAGCTTCAGTGGACAAGTTCAACAGACGTTTGGTTAAAGTAACAAAACAACACAGTGAAGAGGCTAAACAACTCCTCAAATTGATGGGTGTCCCGGTTGTTGATGCACCCTGTGAGGCTGAAGCCCAGTGTGCAGCTCTTGTATGTAGTCTTTTATATATTCATCAAGTTATGTACTTAATTACTAGTGACACTACTAACTGTAAAACTATGCTCTTCAATGATTTTGACTGTACCAATCTCTTAAACTATTGAAAAAATATGCAGTGTATAAATAATTGTGCTTGAAGCTCCAGCAGCATCATGTTCTTACAATATGCAGCATATGTAATAAATTGACAATAATGATGACTTGGGAAATGATTGCTTTTTTTTCTTACATGGATGGACTAGCTCACGGCCCACGTGGTCTAAAGTGGTCACTGGACTCTATAAACATTAACAACGTAAATACTGCTACTCACCTTGACACATGAGTTCTAAGTCTCAGATTTATAATTTAGTAGTATTTATAGTATTATAGTTAGATTAACAATGCCCCATCCATCAAACAGAAACTCTTTTCATGGCAGAAATAAAGAGGGTGGTGGTACCCCACCAGTAACTAAGTAGATATATTGATTTGATACAAATGCAATGAGCGTCTTAATCTTCAAGCCACTACGAAAAAATTAACTATCTGTACTATGATACTACCTACTTCTTAACACAAGAAATACTTACAGGTAAAATCCGGTAAAGTTTTTGCAGCAGCCACAGAAGATATGGATGCCCTAACCTTTGGTGCACCAGTGCTATTGAGACACTTAACGTTTTCTGAAGCAAGGAAAATGCCCGTGCAAGAATTCCATTTAAATAATGTACTACAGGGATTGGAATTGAAACAGAATGAGGTTCATTAACACATTTTCATTAGTTAGCATCGTCGTCAGGTTTGAGCCCCGTGAGCTCACCTACTAGTTAAGGTTCCGCTGGAATAGCCTCTCTAGGCTACCAGCTTAGGAAGGAAAAAAAAAAGAGTCGTGGCATTCCGTATCAGACAGTCATTCAGTCCGTATCGGACGGTCCGTCCGTCTCAGTCAGTGAGTCTCTGGCAGTCAGTCAGTCGGTCTGTCGCTATGTGGAACGAAACTGTCGGTTTACCCTGTCATTGTGAAAGTTGTGTGTTTTGAGTTTCAATAATTATTATTCAAAAGTTTTATTGACTAAACTGAGTTCAATCGAATACAAGTGATGACGGAAACAACCGCTTAGCCATCCCTGGCGCTGCGCCGACATATAGATAATTATTACATCTAATTAGCGTTATATATGTGCCACAATGTCAAACCTCTAAACAGTTCCCTCTAAAAATTTCAAATGCATTGTTGTTAAATAATCGGTGAGTTTAATCACATATTTTACAAGAGTGCTACAATAGTCTGGATTTATATAGACAGCTACATTAGATACTAACTGGAAGAGGTGGAGGTTGTGGCATCAAGACTTTTTTTTTATATTATTACGTTTCACATCTGAGGAGTGAAAGGTTATTTATTGGTTTAAGTGACATTTTTGTAACATTACAAGAGAGCCATTGAGAGTTTATAATTTGGAAAAAAAACATAACATTAAAACTTATTGAGCTATTTCAATGAAGTAAACTTAATTTAAGTTCAATTTAAAACATTGAACTGTTGATGATAATACCAAATAAAAGCCACCTTTAATTACAAAGATAAATGTCGTGCATTAAGGGAAATGTCCCTTAAACTATATATAGCTATATAACTATACTTGAGACCACCGCCCCACCTATTTCTGCCGTGAAGCAGTATTGCGTTTGGGTTTGAAGGGTGGGGCAGCCGTTGTAACTGAGACCTTAGAACTTGTATCTCAAGGTGGGTGGCGCATTTACGTTGTGGATGTCTATGGGCTCCAGTAACCACTTAACACCAGGTGGGCTGTGAGCTCGTCCACCCATCTAAGCAATAAAAAATAAAATAGCCTTGATCCCTCAATATTTTGATTTACAAAACTACTCTGGAATAATAATGATGGAACTGTTGTTACAGTTTATTGACCTCTGCATACTCCTTGGCTGTGATTACTGTGGTTCCATTAGAGGGGTTGGCCCAAAACGAGCCATCGACCTCATAAGACAACATCGGACACTGGATGAAGTACTCAAGAATATAGACACTGAGAAGTACCAACCTCCCACTGACTGGGATTACGAGCGAGCTAGGAGTCTGTTCATGGAACCTGAAGTCGCTGACCCTAAAGACATTGAGGTATGAATTTTTATTTTAAAACTTGAGCCCTAGTATACCATTTTTGCTGGAAGTAAGGAGTATTAATAGCCTACAACAATTAATCTGCTTTGTGGTAGCTATCACTGTCTGTATACATAATATGCTAGGAAATATTGTGCCCCAAGATACTGTTGAGTCTATATCGGGCAAGGATTTTTTTTATTTTTTATTTATTGCCTGGATGTGTGGATGAGCTCACCTGGTGCTAAGTGGTTACTGGAACCCATAGACATCTACAACGTAAATGCACCACACACCTTGAGATATAAGTTCTAAGGTCTCAGTATAGTTACAACGGCTGCTCCACCCTTCAAACCGAAATGCATTACTGCTTCACGGCAGAAATAGGCAGGGTGGTGGTACTTACCCGTGCGGACTCACAAGAGGTCCTACCACCAGTAAGATTACCAGGATTAATAAGACACGTGTTTCGCTAAGTGACTAACGTATATTGGGATTACAACGTAACGTGCTATCGACAGCCCGACAATCCCGAAACTGACGTAGCATAATTGCAATGTAATAATTTTTTTTTTTTTTTTAAATAATTAAATAAATAAATATTTACTAACAATCACGCCACGTTAACTGGTCCCGTGATAAGTTCATAAAGAACTTGTGTTACAGGTACCAGATAACGGATATAAATGTAAGATTTTTATTATACACATACATATATTTAATATACATCCATAACCCTGGAAAAGACATTTACATTTATCATACAAATATCTTCCCTTGGCGGGATTCGAACCCGCGACCCCCTTGTGTAGTGACCATGTCACTTACCACTACACCAGACGGCCGTTTAATTACAGCTAACACATACATATAATTATTAGTTGCTATGGGGACATTTGTGGTCCCTACAACACTTCAACAAATGAATTTTATTCATAAAGATAATTTTAATTCTAAATTAACAGCTGAAATGGACTGATCCCGATGAAGAGGGCCTCGTGAAGTTTCTGTGTGGGGACAGACAGTTCAATGAAGAACGAGTGAGGAATGGAGCTAAGAAGTTAATTAAAGCCAGGACGGGCACCACACAGGCCAGATTAGATGGGTTCTTCACGGTATTTACAGTTCAATTTTGTATTACGTTTCGTCATATGTGATACTTGGAAGCTTATTGCTATATATCGGTAATGAGCCACAAATATCTACATACATTTTATAAGGAACCTGTAAGCTTATTTGCTTCCTCCTCCAAAATAAATTACCGGATTCATCTTTCTTAACTCTTGGGTTTCATATACAGGGTGTATAGAGATTGTTCCCAAAGACATAACGTAATTGACAAGCTTTTTTGTTTTCTAAATAATTTTAATAGGATAGTGTAACAGGCATGTAATGCAAGTAACATTAGTAAAGCCTAATTTTTTACATGCAGTATTTTTATATCACCGATCTACCACCATTAGACATGAGGTAAAAATATGAATTGTAGCAGAAGAGCCGGAACTTAAGTACCTACCGGTGGAGACTTCATACCAGTAATATTCAATTATAAATCTATATATATATATGTATATAAAAATGAATCGCTGTTCGTTAGTCTCGCTAAAACTCGAGAACGGCAGGACCGATTTGGTTAATTTTGGTCTTGAATTATTTGTGGAAGTTCAGAGAAAGTTTAAAAGGTAGATAAATATGAAAATGCTCGGAATTAAATAAAAATAACAATTTTGTTTTCCCTTTGATGTGTCCCCCGTCGGACGGATTCCTTTTGTTTGTTTTAAGTTTATTTTATACAAAAGTTTAAGTCTTTTATAGGCATTACGGGTCTGCCGGATCAGCTAATTACATTTAAAAATATGTACATATATGTTCATGCTATCAACAGTTAACGACAACGCCTAATTCGAAACGTAAAGCTGAAGAGGACAAGAAGAATTCAGCAAAGAAGAAAACTAAGACCGGAGGTGGAGGACGCGGTCGGAAACCGAAATGATTATGTGAGTCAATTAATATCTATGTACGGATAGATTCCTCGAACTAAAATAAACAGTTGTCAAAGCCGATAATGGGTTAATGTACCTTTTCTGAAAAACAAAACAATAATCATTTGTAAATCAAAGTTGTGTAGATATAAAATTTCGATACATATTCGAAGTTCATCGCGCAAGGGAAATTTTTTAATAAAAAGTTGCCTCTAACCACATCATATGAAAGACTGGTGTTGGCCATGTACCCTGTCTATTTCTGCCGTGAAGCAGTAATGCGTTTCGGTTTGAAGGGTGAAGCAGCCGTTGTAACTATACTGAGACCTTAGAACTTATATCTCACGGTGTGTGGCGCATTTACGTTGTAGATGTCTATGGGCTCCAGTAACCACTTAACACCAGGTGGGCTGTGAGCTCGTCCACTCATCTATGGAATTAAAAAAAATAAAAAATTGGCTGATACACAAGTTCATCGACCTCCTGTGACGCGTTGAATTACCTTCACTTTACATTCCAGTCCACTAAATAATCTATAAATCTTTTAAAACAACAAGCATAAACTTATACTTATAACTATATATTTCAAATAATTATTGTTGTATATTTACATTAAATACAGCAATTTGTATTCCCATTTCGGCTTTAAGAACACATGTATCTATGTATCATCCTGTAATTCTAAGACATGATTGAATTGAATAAAACTATTGTGTTTTTTTTAAATATCTTTTTTAATTATCCTTACTAAAATAATTTAACAAAATAATATATTTAAAAAAATATATGCAAACAAGACCTCAAACATTGTTCTTTGTTCAAAACTAACGAATATCAGTCGTTATGATTATTGATGATGTTTTATATTGTGCACAATTAAGAACTAAGAACTTTTAATTCCGGCAAATACATATGTGAGTCGTCTATTATCAAAGGTGGCAACCTGTGCATTTGGCCAAAAAAATGTTATTGATATGTCAATACAGATTGATTTGAATATAATCGTCTCCTTCAAAGAATACGGTTCAAAACCTGCATTAAATAAAGGTTAATACTTAACCTGTGATTTATCTAGGATGTCGTTCAGAAGAGTTTTGTGACTGCCAATGGAATACAAAGTCAATAATTCGTTTTTCTGATTTACCAATAATTGTCCAAAAGTCACATTGCCGGCTTTGATAATAGTCGACTCATGTCTCGATTACACATATAACCACCAAAGCAAATTAAACTATGTGTGACGTCATTCTACTATAATCTCAAAAGTTCTTCTTGAGGAAGTTAATGAGTCCATTCGTGGAAGCGTCGTGGCCGGTCACAGCTGCAGTCCCCTGCAGCTCAGGCTCGATTGCCTTGGCCAATTGCTTGCCGAGTTCAACTCCCCATTGATCGTATGAATTGATATCCCAGATCACACCTTGCGTGAAGATCTTGTGTTCGTACATGGCTGCAAGATAAAAATATATGTAATCATTGTAATTGAATATGCAATTTCGAAAAGGGCACATCTCTGAAAAAGTAAAATGTTCAGGAAATGAAAAAAAAAACTGATTATTTTTTAAAGCAGTGTAAAATTTAAAATATTAACTTTTGAGATTAATTTTAGTGTTAATTAGCAATTGAAAATTACTGGAATTATTATAAAATGGGTGTACTTAAGCCTCAAAACTACATGTATATGAAAAAACGTATTTGACAAAATATGCGACATGTGCCTTTTCGAAATTGCATATTCAATTGTAATGTTGAGAAGAGTTTAAAATAAATTCTTCTTCTTCTTTTTCTCCACCGTATCCCACTAGATGAGGTCGGCACAGCTAATTTTTCTCTTCTATCTGCCGTCATCTTAACACTCACTCCTCTCTCTCTCATAGCGTCATTCACTCCATCCATGTCTTCTTCGGTCGACCTCTACCCCCTCTACCTTGCACTATACCATTTCCATACATCTCCTAGTCACATGCATCATCTCTCTAGTTTAAAATAAATGATGAATCATACATACCAATAAGTGCTCCTAAAGTGAATGGAGTGATCTTCTTCAGAACAATAGAGTTTGTAGGCCGGTTTCCTTTGAATACCTTGTGCGGAAGGATCTTGTCTATTGCCTCCGGAGCCATACCAGATTTCTCTAGCTCAGCTTTAGCCTGTATTAAAATCAACAAATTGATATTTTTAAGCAAAAATACTAGCTCTAATGAAACACACAGCCAACTAATACGCCTATAAAATATAAATCTATTCATAAATAAGGACAAAAAACCAAATTATTGTGTATCATACAAAGACCTTGAACAAAGTTTTCTTCTACTTTATATGATACCAGAAATACACACTTATTTGCCTACATTCAGACCTCAGATATCAAATATAATATTAATCTATTATCTATCCTATCCAACACACGGAATTCTGTTATCATGAAGAACAAACCCCAAGTCAGTAAACTGATAGACAGAATCATAAATTTAATATTTTTTATAGCTTAGATGGGTGGACGAGCTTACGGCCCACCTGGTGTTAAGTGGTTATCAGAGACCATAGACATCTATAACCTAAAAGCCGCCACCCACTTCGAGACATTAGTTGTCTCAGTTTTAACATTCTTTAACATTTTTATTCATCTGTGGTCACGAAAACTGTAAAATATTTGGAATCTCAGATATTGTAAAATGCAAATATATTTAGCAAAGATATTCCCTTCGACATGCCTTCTAATCAAGCGTCAGCATTCTTGATATAGTAATCAGAATAAATGATCTCAAAATTAGACGAGTGTGGCAATACTAAAAGAAAATTTTACAAAAACCTCATGAATATATCTAACTAAGATGTTTTGTTACTAACAAAGGTTCACTGACCTCGTCAGCTGTCTTGCCCTTCATCAGGGCTTCGGTTTGAGCCAAGAAATTAGCTAGAAGGATCTTGTGGTGAACACCATTCGAAATTGGATTGTGAGTTTGGGCTGGAGCGATGAAATCGCATGGAATCAATCTGTGAATTCAATATTAAATAATGTAAAATAAAAAAAAAAACAAAATCAAGTCAGCTGCTTCATTACCTAACTTGCCATGGATAAAATGGAATGATGGTACTTCTTACCCCTGCCGGATTCACAAGAAGCCTTACACAACTAGTAATTTTTGCTTGTTTGTTTTTTATTAGGTAAATGTGGAAGTCGTCTGTGAACATGCCTTAAGTCGTTGTGGCCTAAAGGATAAGACGTCCGGTGCATTCGTATGTAGCGATGCACCGATGTTCGAATCCCGCAGGCGGGTACCAATTTTTCTAATGAAATACGTACTCAACAAATGTTCACGATTGACTTCAACGGTGAAGGAATAACATCGTGTAGTAAAAATTAAACCCGCAAAATTATAATTTGCGTTATCACTGGTGGTAGGACCTCTTGGGAGTCCGCACGGGTAGGTACCACCACCCCGCCTATTTCCGCCGTGAAGCAGTAATGCGTTTCGGTTCGAAGGGTGGGGTAGCCGTTGTAACTATACTGAGATCTTAGAACTTATATCTCGAGGTGGGTGGCGCATTTACGTTGTAGATGTCTATGGGCCCCAGTAACCACTTAACATCAGGTGGGCTGTGAGCTCGTCCATCCATCTAAGCAATAAAAAAAAAAAAAAAGCGTATTTCAATAGAAAAATTAGTACCTGCCTGCGGAATTTATCACTAATCGTCTAACATTTTAGTTACTTCTAGAGATGAGTCGGATTTATTAGAGGAGATTAGGCTGCACCTAATCCCATTTGTCAATCTGTATAATCCACCTGTTCCATCTTATCGTCGTCTTCTTAAAAGAGAAAATCGAATATTCAGCATACGCTCCCACCTGTTTCCCACGTATCCCAAAATCCCTAAATGCCTAATCCTAATCATTGAAATAATGATCCAACGATCACATTAATCAAATCCTAGTAACGAACTCAGAACTTGAGATTAGGAATAGGCAGATTGAGATTGTTTGCTAAGTAAACAAGATTGAATTGATTGTGAATGAGATTGGGAAGATTATGTGGATTAGATATTTGGATTAGGTATTTCTTAAGATTAGGTACAGGTGAACCTAGTATCTGATTTACCTAGTACGACCCATCTGTAGCTACTTCACAACAAATAAATAAATAAATGAACAATCCAGACTATTAATTGTTTCATCAAAATCTGCTCAACAAATATATAGTAAATATAGTATGTAGTGTTAGTAGCATATATAGTTATTATTTTATGTCACCATTATTAAAATAACACTTCTGTAAATAATTGTTCCATAAAGATTCAACATGAAACGCGGTTTTGAAGTGAATTCGATTTTATTGCTATTGTTATTAAGAACTATTTTTACTAAAATACATCATAATTGTTTTTTAGTTACATGGGTAGACGAGCTCACAGACCACCTGGTACTAAGTGGTTATTGGAGCACATAGATATCTACAACATAAATGCGCCACCCACCTCGAGATATAAGTTCTAAGGTTTCAGTATATTTACAACGGCTGCCTTCACACCGAAACGCATTACTGCTTCACGGTAGAAATAGGCGGGGTGGTGGTACCTACCCGCGCGGACTCACAAGAGGTCCTTCTTCTTTTTCGTCGCTTTCTTAATTGCCAAAGGTCGTGACCCTGAAACTTGACCGTGGCCTGTCTCGTGAGCTGTTTCCATCTCGTCCGGTCCTCAGCTTCTCGAATGGCGGTTGCGACTGGCAGCCCAGCTAGGGCGGTTATTTGATCACACCAACGGCTAGGCAATTGGCCGCGGGGTCTCTTTCCTTCTACTTTGCCAGTCACAATCACAAGACGTCTTACCACCAGTCAATCTTGACATATTTGCTGTGCGCTGTAAATATAACCTAAGGATAAACTGCTGATCAGTTACCTGGTTCCCTGGTGTATGAGCTGGTAGAAGGCGTGCTGTCCGTTGGTCCCGGGCTCGCCCCACACGATGGGCCCCGTGGAGTATTCCACTTCGGCTCCTGAACGCGTCACGTACTTGCCATTGCTCTCCATATCGCCCTGCTGGAAATACGCTGCGAATCTGTAATATCAAGGAAATTTGTGCAAACAAGAGAGCAAAGTTGTTTTTTGTTTCGACTGCTGATTTTGAATCCTGGGCGTAGTGAGGGACTCAACAAACAGCACGAGATGCAAAAAACGTTGCTCTCATGTAGCACACATAAATTTTCACCTCAGCAGTGAGAACACATATTACTTAGGATACTTTAGCGGTAGGCAGCGGCTTGGCTCTGCCTTTGGCATTGCACAGAAGATTGCACAAAGTGGGAATGAGTTGCTCGCTCCGGGCATTTCAATATTGTATTAATTGTTATGTTATAATACTTATTGTAAAAATGAATATTTAAAAAAAATCTAATATTAAAAAAAATATTCTAATATTAAAAAAAAAAAAAGACATGCCCGCTGAGTTTCTTGCCAATTCTTCTCAGGACGGAGGCTAATTCTTGTGAATTGGCGGTAGTTCTTTTGACGTTCAACAAGTATGTACTTTCATTTATGTTGAATAAATTTTTTTTTGATTTTGATTTGATTTGATTTGCTGAAGTTTATGGGCGACGGTAACCACTCACCATCAGGTGGGCCGTATGTTCGTCTGCCTACAAGGGCAATAAAAATAAATAAAAATAAACAGAAATGAACAGAAATAGATTGAAATAAATATTAAAAAAAAAAACGCAATTACTTTATTACAAATATCTTTAAATTTGAGGGTATATAACGCGTTTCCGAACGTGTTTTCTTTGAGGTCGAATTCTAAAATGTAATTTCGAAGGGGTTTGTTTTTTTCACTCGCTTTTTTATATACACGTGAAAGAGACAGGGCACAGCAAAATCCGAATGTTTCAAATTTATGGCTGAACAATGTCAATTCGTGGCACTGTGAAGATTGAGAAAATTAAAAAGCTACTTTGACCCATGGCCGAATTAAAATCGCGTTTTGTTCACTGTTGTCTCGCAGCAAAATCGGCAGGTTTGAGCTGCTGAGGTGAAATACGTTATTTTAATCGATGCAAATGTACATCCAAAATTACATACAGGGTGTAACATAAACATAATCGCCTTATAGCCTTAACTCGTTCTCACAACGAGCTAGTGCACGGCCCAGCTGGTGTTAAGTGCTTACCGGAACGCATAGACATCTACAACGTAAATACGCCACCCATCTTGAGATATAAGTTCTAAGTTCAGTACAGTTACAACGGCTGCCCAGCCCGTCAAACCGAAACGCATTACTGCTTCACGGCAGAAATAGGCAGGGCGGTGGTACCTACCCGTGAGGACTCACAATAGGTCCTACCACCAGTAAGTACCTTCCTAACAGTATGCATTAGTGCTGTAGTTATGGCTGCCTTAGTGAGAGTGTGATAGGCGACACATTGGTACATTACCTGTGTAGATATTGATCGTAAGGCAGCAGCGCATGGGTCTCTGCTCCGTAGAAATTGTGGTACCAGACTCCTAACAGAGCTAAGATCACGGGAGCCTGAAAGGCGATGGTGGCTTTAGTATATACATTTTCGGTGGTAAATCTCTATGGATGTATACGACAAAAGGAAGATTTTCCACCGAGCGGGTGCAATTGCTCGGTAGACCGACGGTCCGAATGTTGTTGTTCGGGACTTGTATATATGCAAGCTTAACTTGAAAATGTCGTAAGCGAGATTCAGGCATCTGTCAAATATCTTGTATGTATAATATGATGGCTAGCCGCCACACGTGCATGTGCCCAGGGGCGACGGTGATCAGTCTTCGGACATTTGTGCACTTCGATAGACATTGGCAACACTAGGGCCAAAACATGCCACCGGGCTTTTTGGCGGGAACGCGAGGAGTGAAGTTGTGTGATTTGTTTTATTTTGTCTATTTAGTGTTTCTTCAGGTTTAAATGTGTAATAACGGTGGTTTATTAACTATTTAGTATCTGTGAAAGTGCACAAATGTGGGAAAATGAAACAAAGCCGCCATTTTCATTTCATTTTTTTTCCATTCCATTCCATTTCATTTTTTTTTTCATTTTATGCCATGTTTCATATTAATCAAATTCACTTTATTTCATAATATCATTTTTCATATAAAAAAGTTTTCATTACAATTAAAACAAGACTCGACCTAAAGGTATTAGTTACCATGTCATAAAATCCCTTAAAAAATAAGTCTTTGACAATAGAACCATAATAATGTCCAAACTTATAATTTGAATTAATTATAGCCGTATCCATACATTCTTCCTTCGGCTGGTCGTAGGACCGTCGAGGCGATTCGCCCGGTCCTTGTGGATTGGGTGAATCGTGACAGAGGACGCCTCACTTTCCGGCTCACGCAGGTGCTCACTGGGCATGGTTGTTTCGGTGAGTTCCTGCACCGGATCACAGCCGAGCCGACGGCAGAGTGCCACCATTGTGGTTGCGACTTGGACACGGCAGAGCATACGCTCGTCGCCTGCCCCGCATGGGAGGGGTGGCGCCGTGTCCTCGTCGCAAAAATAGGAACCGACTTGTCGTTGCCGAGTGTTGTGGCATCGATGCTCGGCGACGACGAGTCGTGGAAGGCGATGCTCGACTTCTGCGAGTGCACCATCTCGCAGAAGGAGGCGGCGGGGCGCGTGAGAGACGCACAATCCCGCCGCCGTCGAGCGGGGGCCAGGGAGGCGGATCTCGCCCAAGCCCTGGCCCTCTAAGTGTTTCGGGTCCCCCTCACATGTCGGTCTGGGGACCGGCGAGGGGGGCCTAAGAAGACGACGTGCAAGCTGCTCTGCACGCGTTTTACGCAAGAGCATCCGGGTGATGGAAGGCCGGCTATCCTCGACCCACGCTGGTTCTGGCCCAGCGGGGTATTCCGTAGGGTAACCCACTCTAACCGGCGCCATCTAGGCGGGCTTCGGACAGTCTGCCGACCGAGAGGGCTGGTGGTCGTGGCGCCGACGACCGCCAGTCCGGCGTCCCGAGGGGGAGGGTGATGGGAGAGATGTGCTCCGCACTAAACGCTTCACTTTCCCCCCTTTGCCTTGTCATGAGTTCTGTCTCATGCGAGGTTTGGACGTTGGTTGTTGAGCGACAGGAGGTTTTAGTCAGTTCGACTCTGACATACCCCGCCCAGTATCCCCAGAAAAGGGCAGAAGTCCGGCGATTTCCTCCTGACCAAAAAAAAAAAAAAGAAAAAAAAAAGAAAAAAAAAAAAAAAAACCATACATTCTTCTCCAGCGGTGCGGTGACGAAGTGCTGGTCCATGAAATTGGCTCCGTCCAGAAGTTTCTCGAAGTTTTCGTGTCCGATGTACAGCGAGATGGACAGACCGATCGCGGACCACAGCGAATATCTATATATGTATATAAAATAAGAGAGTAAGAATAATACACACAATATAAAGACAGCTTCTAAAGCTAAAACTGACTAATACTTCTATAAATAAATAATATTTCCAAAGTTCAAGATATATAAAAACGGTCTGATTCATAGTGAATTATCTGGGTTTTATATGCGCGTTATAAAAAGACAATAATACATAAGTACATATGTATTCATAATAAAAGGAAATAATACACATGAATAACACTTATTATAGTCTTCATATAACGGTCTTATAAAGTTCCGGTAACTTAACTATAAATGAAACCAATAGCATTTTAGCGAGATTAAAGTTTTTGAACCCGCAATGGACAGTGAAGGGGCACACCGGGTCAATGTCCAGCGAGCTGATTTGTTACATTGCGTTGTGCAAGGACATCGATAAAACATAATAATATAGAATGATTTTCGATGCGTCCAGTTGAATTTATTAATTACTAGCGACCCGCCCTCGCTTCGCTTCCGAAACTGTAATTTATTATTGATTTCTCCACTATTTAATGGATGTTATTATACATATAAACCTTCCTCTTCAATCACTCTATCTATTAAAAAATACCGCATCAAAATCCGTTGCGTAGTTTTAAAGATTTAAGCATAGATAGGGGCAGATATAGGGACAGAGACAGCGACTTTGTTTTATACTATGTAGTGATTCGATCTTCTAGCTGCTATGGTATGCTCTTTAATTACGAAACTACTGATAATTATCGAAGGTATGGGTCTGCGCGCCTGGTAAATACCAACACCAAGCTATTTTGGCTTAAGCGATATTTTTCACAGGAGAGCCATCTCAAGTTCAAAATTTGTAAAAAATATCATTTGAAAAAAAAACTGTTGATGCTGATATCAAATAAAACGGACCTTTAATTAAAAAGGTAAATGTCGCTTTAACTAAAGAGTCTTTCACTCCTCGATATGTATATCCATGCGACGGTCCAAAGAGACGATTAGTCTTATTAAGACTTCCATATCACGTCACGAAGGGAGCAGCGGCATCGGCTTTGGAGATGTCCTTGGCCACAGTTTTGCACCTTCCTAAAGTACCGGAAAACACGGAACATTGAGCTCACCTGCCCCCGACCCAGTCCCAGAAGCCGAACATGTTGTTAGCGTCGATACCGAACGCGGTGACCTTCTCGGCGTTCGTCGATAAAGCGACGAAGTGTCTCGCCACCGCCGAGGGCTGTCAAAAAAGCCCCAGAGGTTATATATATAATGGTGGTAGGACCTCTTGTGAGTCCGCGCGGGTGGGTACCACCACCCTGCCTATTTCTGCCGTGAAGCAGTAATGCGTTTCGGTTTGAAAGGCGGGGCAGCCGTTGTAATTATACTGAGAGCTTAGAACTTATATCTCAATGTGGGTGGCGCATTTACGTCGTAGATGTCTATGGGCTCCAGTAACTACTTAACACCAGTTAGGCTGTGAGCTCGTCCACCCATATAAGCAATTAAAAAAAACAAGCGTAATCAAGCGAGTAATTTTTTTTTATTGCCCGTGCAGGCAGGCGAGCATGACGACCTGATGGTGCGTGGTTACCGTCGCCCATGGACTTCAGCAATGCCAGGTGCAGAGCCAAGCCTACCGTTAAGTACTCTCCACAAGCCTCGTTTGAAGAAGGATATGTCATAGCGCTCGGGAAACACCGTGGAGGGGAGCTCATTCCAAAGCTGAATGATACGTGGCAAAAAAGACCTCTGGAAACGCACTGTGGATGAACGCAGTGGCTTCAGGTAGTATGGATAAACCCTTCTCAAGTGGCGGGCGGTGCGATGGTAAAAACGCCAGAGTTCGCCATTTCGAGAAAGGGGCACGACACGAGAACCATCTCATCGTGGCCGCAGCGATAGAGGCACGATCGGCCCAAGCTTCGATCAACAATAGGAACTAGATTTCGGGTTAGCGCAAAAATCCGTCTCGTTAAATAACAGCTCACTTGAAATGAGCTCTTATTTTGTTTAGTTCACTCCAGACAGAGCCAATGTCAACCCGTCTCACAATGCCGCAGTGTATATTCAAAAGTTGCAAAAATTGTCCGAAATAGCAATTTAATGGCCGGAGTACCTTACTTTCGGTAAGTACATGAAGTGTAAGTTATATTTTAAGCTTTAAGCTAATAAACAGTATTAAATTTTAAACAAAATTACCGATTTTTAACCACCGCTACAAAAGTTGGCCAAGGCTCGCCAACACTTGGACAAACTTTTATTTAAAATAAGAGTAAATGCATGGAGTAGACTTGTATTGTTATAATTTTTAAAAATTTGTTAGCCGTACTTCAAAATTGGTTAGTTAAAATTGGTTAATGCTGCTTTTGTGTCTGTTTGTTGGACTCTTATTAGATACTTAGCTTTCCTTTTTTATTTTAGCTTTCCTAGCAATCACGTGTGCGGAATGGATCTCGATTGTCGCCAGAGAAAGAAGAGATTACTTTTATAACCAAGCTAAGAACTCGACTCATTGACACTGGACATCTTTGCCTTCCGTGCTCACGGCTACTGAAACGTGGCCGAAGCATTGTAATAAAAATATCGCGCTCAAAACCGTTTAAACGTTTTTTTATTATGTGTACTAGTCGCGAAAACATAAAAATATACTATAAAAATATGTATTACACAAAACGTAACGCTCATAAAATAATAAGTAATGTATAGATACTAACAAACATAAATTCTCAAAACATAAAAAGTAAACAACTAAACTTTTAGTTTTATTCATTTAATAAATTATTTTAGTGTTCGACGCGACTCCCTTACCTCCTGTAGTAAATAGAAATCGAAATTTCAAGAAGCAAAAAAAATTAAAAAATGATGTTAGTTCTCAAAGTTAGAACAATTACTTTATTTGTTGGCATTTAAGGTTGATTTTTTAACATTAAAGGTTGTTTAACATGTCTTTTCATTTTTAAGTGACAGGAGTAATTTATTGCTTTGTGACGAATGATCGTAAGTATTAGATAATGTTTTGGAGATTTGTGACTTTATTACTAGGTGCCATAGTTGTAATTAGTTTGAACTGAAAACTGTTTTAAAGCTTTTTTCTCCGTTTGTTGTAAACCAATGTAGCTATGTATGTATATATTCACGCGGACAGTTTTTGCTTTGATTTTGTACGTGTCCCTATAACTAGTTACTATTGTTGATCGAAGGGCCCAAGCGTTGGCTTGTGACACATTTATCTCTCTTCTCGCGTGACGTCAGAGCTAGCAGTTCGAATAGTTCTGCTACTGTGGTTTTCACTTAAAAACCGACCGACTTTAAACCGACTTTACAGACAACCAATTATTATTATTATTTTCTTGCATAAAAATCTTGTAATATTTCTAAACGATGGAAATAATTTATGTACAAGATACAATAAAAAAGGCCGGATTAAACTCTATAGTAGTATAATTTTTATATACGATTTGCAAAAATCATTTTTTTTCCTACCTAAGCTGATGATTGCCTTGAGAGGCAATATCAGCGGAACCTTAACCAGTAGGTGAGCTCACGGGGCTCAAACCTGACGACGTTGCTAACACGAACCCTAGCAAGAGCCGTGCTTCGCAGAATCTACCTCCGCATCGACAACGCGACCCACTGAGAAGATCTGGCGAGAAACTCAGTGGGCTGTGTCTGAGGGTTAATTTACTCGTCGAGCCCTTGCTTCCGGTGCTTGAGCTTCCTAAAAGCACCGTTAGTGGATCGGGAGGATCCGGAATGACGTGTTTGGGGCGACGTCGACTGCTTTCCATTCTGTCCGCAGGATCGGGAATGTAGTTACCGGCGGCCACGATGAGACGGTTCTCGTGTCGTGTCGCTTTATCGAAGTGGGCAAAAACCAAAAACTATAAGGAACCAACCAACTGTGAAAGTATCTTTGTAAATTGGCACAATTTCTTTATTCTTCAAAAAATAATAGTAATTCCAAAAATTATAAGGGTTTAACGTTTTCTTTTATTGTATTTGTTGGCAAGCAAGCAAACGGCCCACCTGATGCTATTGTCACTCATACACGACAGTAAAGCTGAGAGCAAGCTGAGATTTTGCGTGCATGTCGGGTAGTTTGAAAATCGGTCATCATCTATTTTATTACCCCAAAATTTTAAGGGTCGTAAATCCAAAAAAAAAACCTAGTAATAATATATATGGCAACACAACGCTTGCCGGGTCAGCTAGAGTTACTATAAAATTTCAATTATAGTTCTTACATCCTTAGCGGATTCCAGGAACCACGTCTTAGCTGAGCTCGCATTGGTTATCGTCTCTTGTGTGGTGAAAGTCTTGGATGCTATGATGAACAGCGCTGTCTCAGGGTTCAGCTTCTTCAAGACCTCAGCCAGGTGGGTGCCGTCGATGTTAGATACGAAATGGACCTGAAATAAAACATCTGATCAACGTCTCATGATTTTTACAAAAGAAACTCTATTACAAATCATTAAGGTCGAATTTCTATGACAAATTGAATATTAGCAACTGTATCTTATTTATATGATAACACTTTTTTTTGTGGTTTAGATGGGTGGACGAGCTCACAGTCCACCTGCTGTTAAGTAGTTACTGGATCCCATAGACATCTACAACTTAAATGCGCCACCCACTTTGAGATATAAGTTGTACGGTCTCAGTATAGTTACAACGGGTGCCCTACCCTTCAAACCAAAGCGCATTACTGCTTCACGGCAGAAATAGGCAGGGTGGTGATACCTAACCGTGCGGACTCACAAGAGGTCCGCGACATCTGCTCACGACTTAACCTAACTTAATCTATCCTAAGAAGGAGGTAGCCTTGAGATCAGTAATACAGGTCTTTGTACCTAGTACAGACTTCAGCTTTTTCAAAGGCTAACAAAATAAATTATAAGGTCAATCTCTATTTGTATGCCTTTATATTTTAGAAATATACGACAAAGCGAAGATCTTCCACCGAGCGGGTGATATTGCTCGGTAGACCGACGGTCCGAATGTTGTTTTTTTTTTTTCCTACCTAAACTGGTAGGCTGGAGCGGCTATTCCAGCATAACCGTAACTAGTAGGTGAGCTCACGGGGTTCAAACCTGACGACGATGCTAACACGAACCCTAGCAAGAGTCGTGCTTCGCAGAATCTACCACCGGATCGGAATCGCGACTCACTGAGAAGATCCGGCGAGAAACTCAGTGGGCTGTGTCTGAGAGTTAATTTACTCGTCGAGCCCTTCGACGGGTTCGACGAGAACGGTGACCGGTGCTTGAAGTACCTAGAAGCACCGTTAGTGGATCGGGAGGACCGAATATTGTTGTTCGGAACTTGTATATATGCGAGCTTATCTTGAAATGTCGTAAGCGAGATTCAGGCATCTGTCAATTATCTTGCGTTGTATGATGGCTACCCGCCACAATATTAAGAGAGAAATAAATAAATTATTATTATTATTGTTGAGATTTATCAAATAGGCACAATGGTCCTTATCGATGTACAAATATATTATCAATTAATGATACGATACAATTACGATATTAATTAACGATCAACTTAAAGATATATAATAATAATTTAAAATATATAATAAAAAAAAGAATAGTGAAAAACCTAAAGAAAACAAATTCGGGAAAAACAAAGGTGTATAGGACCGATCATTTGATGTCATGATTTATGTATTGGATTGCCACCGGCCATCGCTATGCCTATTTCTGCGGTGAAGCAAATATTCGTTCCGGCTTTGATCAGTCTGTTTGTTCGTTCGTTTATCATTTATTTAGTTTGTTTAAGGAGGAAAAAACACCATATATACAATAAATAAAGAAAAACTTTTTGAGTATTGATGCAGTCATTACATTATACCTTAAGATGATTAGCATAGGGCTTCAGTGCTTCTGTGACCATGAGGGGACCCAAATCTGAGCCCCCAATACCAATGTTGATCACATCTGTTATAGCTTTTCCTGTATACCTGAAATTTTTTATTTGAAGCCATTAATCAAACTAGGAAGTCTGGTTGCTTCATGCCCAATATATGCAGAACAATTATATCTAGCCGTGTGGGTTTGCTACATAACCCTTGAAAGTTCTGGACAGATTTTTTTATTGCTTAAATTGGTGGACGAGTTCACAGCCCACCTGGTGTTAAGTGGTTACTGGAGGCCATAGACATCTACGACGTAAATGCGCTACCCACCTTGAGATATGAGTTGTAATGTCTCAGATTTTAAAGTACAATGGCTGCCCCACCCTTCAAACCAAAACGCATTACTGTTCACGGCAGAAATAGGTAGAGTGGTGGTACTTACCTGTGCGGACTCACAAGACGTCCTACCACCAGTTAATTCCAGTGGACTGGACAAAAGTAATTCGATAAGTTATGACATGCCTGTAATATTAATGTGCAGACTGTTGTATTCATACACAGAACCAGTCATGGTAACCAGGGTTCACAAGTCTTCTGTCTCATAATGTCTACGCCAACTTTTTAGTCACAAATTACTTTCTAGATCTAATAATACTGACCCCTTCCATTGCCCGCTCACTACTTGATCGGAGAATTCCTTCATGTGTTCTAGTACCGCGTTGACATCAGTGCTGACATCCTTACCGTTCACCAGGATAGGCTTGTTCTGACGGTTACGCAGAGCTATATGCAGTACTGCCCTGTCTTCTGTGAAGTTTATCTTTTGACCTGGGAGATGGATTTACGGAGTTGATTATGAATGTAATAAGCATGGTGTAAGAGCTTTCTTACATATTATTTTCGGGTGGTAAAATTTAAATCATGCACCAATGTGGTCACAATTCACTGATAAAATTGCAGTTTTTATGAAAAATTACACAACTTTTCAATAGGTGTTGATGTAATTTGTTATCACCATTGCGGTCAATTAATTTGATATGATAGATACTTGTAGTTTAATTAAATTTTATAACTTACTTTAAAATCATTATTTGGGTTATTGATAAGGTTGACAGGAAAAAAAAAGATCGGAAATAATAATATGCCATCATAAGACTAGTGTTAATTATATAGACTAATTTATGTCAAAAATATATATATATTGCACTAGGTATACTGGATGCAGACAGGGTGGTGATTCCTAACCATAGGCCTCACAATACACTCTACCGTTAATCAATTATGCAAATTCATAGATTATTAATTCTATATTTTTAGCACTTTAAAATTCATTCATTGTCGTTGAGTCTTTATTTTTTTAATATAACAAAAAAAAAGGACAATAAAATATATGTAAATATTCAAATATTAGTCAATACGAACAAATTTCAAACATTGTGGGAATACTAGTAAAATTACACTATATACAAGGTATTTGACCAGAAAGGGTGTGTACCCATTAGCTTCATGCAATAAATTCTTATGGATTACCTGAGAACATGGCATCTCTGGCTTGTTCAACATTTCTGCTCTTAGCTAGATCGAGGAGCAACTTAAAAACATCACTGTTGATACGGTTCTTGGAATAGTCGAGTAAGATGTCTCCATCGTTCGGTGTTGGGATACAGAGGCTAAAAAAGTTAAGATTTGTATTTACATATTTCAAAATAAAATTGTCAGTACCTTAGCGTCATTGTTCTAAATTAGCTTAAAAAAAACAAAAAATACTCAAAAGTGAAAGTTCAAATTTAATGTTGTGTGATTTGATTCCTATGACCTTTAGTTCTATAAAACTGTATTTAAAAATTATATAAACTTTTTATTCATTTTTTTATATAGAAAACTTAATAGTTTGGTCTACGTATTGTCGCAGATACTGTAAATAAGTGAAAAATTTAGGAAACTCACCTGAACTTTTCGAAGCGCTCCCGATCTTGTTGGAAAAGTTGGAGCATATTAATTTTTGTGCTGTTTACATTGTAATATTCTTGTAATTTCTGATATGCTGCGTCTTGCTTTAAATTAATTTTCGGTTCCATAGTTACGATAGATTGTACAGGAGCCTTACAGATGCTATGCCGAAGACCGATTGATAACGAATGTCTCATTAAAAGCCTTTGACATCTGATTGACATTGCATGTTTGTTTTGACCAATGACATATGAAGGTCATTTGCGTTTCGTTATAGCTTTGTCATCAATTGAAAAAAAAACCTTTCATTATGTAGAAGTAGTAGAGTAGCTTCCGGACTATATGGAAATTTAATTTAACTTGTAATTTTAGGAGTACAACAATATTCCCTCGCTTAAACATACCTACACACAATAATATTTTTTTCAATTATAAAATCGATATTTCATTATAAAGACAATCGTACTCCGGGCGGATTATCACAGAAAATAAAAATAATCACTACCTTACAGATAAACATTTCGTTTTAGCAAGTAAGAATTACTCTTAAAAGCTATGCTACTAGATTATGAAAATAGGTAATCAAATTTAAAAAAAAAACATGCGCGTTAATCGCACACCCTGTAAGCTCAGTGCGTCATGAGCACTTCAGCCGTGAATAAAACACAGGTGCTGTTGAGCTTACTTACTTATAAAAGAAATAATCATTTATTTCGAACATTGACCAGTTGTGCTAGTATTTGCCTAAATTGTAGAATATTATTTAGTTTGATTTGATTTCCTCCAACTGTCTCGATTGGGCTCTATCAGCAGTAACTATAGTAGAATAATTTGGTCCGTGCAGTTTGGGTCATAAAACATAGCCCGGCTAGGGCGGTGAACAGGTTGCGCGGGCGCAACGCCATTATCGATAAAAACAAATGAGTCATCGAAGGCAGGTACACGGCGGCGGGGTGGTATACGAAGGGTGGTGAGACATTGTTATGTTAAGAGTCATTTGTACTTACCTGCAAATTATAGTACATAATGTGTTTTTATGCATTCGTTCTCTGAATTTCTTTAGTGACAAAATAATCTTTGCACGTGTTGTTATCAACAATGTGTTAAAAATTTTCACTGAAATAAGAATAGATCCCGAAAAGTTACAAAGTGTTAATTTCTGCCGTTCTCGTTAACTTGCTGCGGCGATATGTGGTGTAAGTGTTCGATTAGTGATTTTTTCTTTCTTTTTTATCACTAACCCACAAAATGACAAAACTAAATACACTATCGATAACGCTTATCGAAAACAATAATGCGCATCACTATGCCCGTCCATAAGGCTCGTGAGTGGAAGAGAGAGCGAAATATTCGCTTCACCGCTTCAACTTTTTATGACCCAAACTGCACGGACAAAATAATTCTACTATAGAGTCCGATATTGTCGCAAAGTCACAGATGCGATTACCGTATTTTCCATGTTCTTTTACAATTCCTCGAGTGTCATAGAAATGTTTGGATAATGAAATTGCATATCCTATACTCGTTATTTGTTAATGAACACCTTAGCTTTACTATCGTTAAGTTTTTTTATTTCTAGTAGAACATATTTTAAGCTCGCTGAACTACGACTATCCCAACTATTTCTGCTGCAGATAATTCGTATGTTCTGCTCTGAGCTTAATTACAGCATTCCTGGGAGTTTCATCTGATGTCGCAAGGGGATTGACCACGTTCAAGCTGTGATCGATATCCTTGGGTTCAGGTAACCATTTAACCAATGATGGATTTACGCCTAGGCTCCCGAGGTCCAGGACTAATGCGGCAAATTTTTTGAAATGCCAAAATTTTAGAGACGAAAATAACTAAAGACAATCAGTCATGTCGAAAATGAGTTCAGATTAATTTTTATAAAAAAATCACAAGGATATTTTATATTTAAAATAAAAATATTGGATCAAAATTAATAAAATTAATTCTCATTAAAATTAAGGGTGGCGCGACAAACAGGGCCCAGGGCGGTATAATGCGGCCTACACACGACCCTAAAATCAGTGACGATATCAGGACAGCGGTGGTGGGGATAATCGTCCCTAAATCGTAAGCTCGCCCGAAGCGATTTTAGAGTTTAGGGTAAACAATAAAAATCGGATTACGATTTGCCTATACACGAGGCGATTTACGGTACGATTTAGGGTCCTCCCCACTCCACTCCAATGTCCCGATATCGCAACTGATTTTAGGGTCGTGTGTAGGCCGCTTAAGCCTAAATCCGTCACTGTATTCAACACGCGATATACCGTGGGTTTGTTCGGTAGCTTAAGCATTAATAGGCGGCGACGTTCTTATTGTAATATTTTTAATTATCCTTAAAGATACAAATCTAATACAGTAATCCAGTATAACACGGTAGATCGGTTCCGCGTTATAAGAAATGCGTTGTAGGAGTATTTTCGAACAACGCGATTGTATGACCCCATATAATAACGCGTTATATACAAATATTATACAATTTAACCAATATTTCTAGAATTTAAAAACTAGAAACACAAAATTAATAAATTAATTTTACAACACGATTGACACAATGTGCAATGGTACGCGAAATAAATTACATATGAACAGTGCAAATCATTATAAATTTCACAGTACCGAAATATGTATAACGTGTGAAATCCCCGCGTTATATGGGGGAACACTCGTGTTATACGAGGGACTGAAATCGCGTAATATGAAAATGCGTTATAATAGTACCGTGTTATAACGGAGATTACTGTATTATTATGGTTTAAGTAAATAAAATAAAACCATGTTTTATTTCTTTTTAATTTATTTAAAAGATACATTGTTGTTAACATAAAAAAAGAAGTCGGTAACGAAATCATAAAAAAATCAAAACAATATCGATTTTATTTTAGTCATCTATAAACGAAAATAAAATGATTTTATATAAGTGTACCTCTTTAATTCTATTCTATTCAATATGTGGATGCGATTACATTATTAATGCTGTATAGGTTATTCAAATTAAAGTTTAATTAGCTTAGTAATAACTTATATAATCGTTATTACCAATATTTGATACAGAACTTCACTGTGTTCATACCGAGCGAGACGTTAAAACAAAACAATTCATGCCGCGTTTTGGCTAACGATAATGCGGCGTAATGAGGATAAATCTCAACAAAGCCAAGGTAAAAACTATGCAGGGTAGAATAGAAGTCATTCTTCGGACAATCAATTACATAAGTGACTACAAAAAAAACATTAATCAAAGATCAAGAATCAAGTTCAATAAACGCCCAGAACGGTGATAATTTAAATCTGAGTGAGATTATAAGTTGTCAATTTTTTTTTTTAAATAATACTAAATATGTAATCGAAATCAAAGAAATATATTATAATAATTAAAGAAATATTCCAATAAATTAAAAGATAAAAAAAAACTTTTCGCTTCGTGGAAGCGTTGTAGAATTTTGTATATAAAATTAAAATCGCATAATTATTATTATTTAAGGGTTTCCTTTAATTTCTAGAATCTTCCGCGTTCCTAATAAGTAAAGCCATCTTCAAGACACGGTTCTATGGATATCTTTAATATACATAATCACTTTCAACTCTACCCTCCATTCTGTTACCGGAAAAAAACCTATAATTTACATAATTCAACCCTATAAAACATTTATTTTTATTGTCAAATCATCCGTCCTAAGCACGTCCAATTCAAAGATTAACCTCATTTGAAAGTAAAACCATTGAGCTCGGAGAATAAATATCTATGCCATTCGATTAGTCATGATAATAACAGAATATAACCTAAAATATAAATCCTTACTACAAAAATCTTAACATTTTTTTTTCCTCACTTATCTCGCGCTGACCATGCGACCAAAGTGAACGAAAAGCTGGTATAGCTTAAACTATTATTAATTAATAACAAAATTAATCTGTATATTTTCAGCTGTTTTCGCAGACAAAATTGCTACTTGACACAGTGAAGAGAAGACTACATGAATTCATAACTTTTTTTTTTTTTAAGAATGGCAATCAGCTTCTTTCGATGCGAATGTTGCCAGTGTCGAGTTTATAATTTTTTTAGTGCCGTCCGCGTGATGTCCTTTAGGCTACCAGGCACGAAAAATATATTAAAATCTTTAATTACGATATAAATATGTACTTTAAATGAAAAATTAAGCGGAATGAAGTGAAGTTCATTTATTTATATGAAATTGTAATTCATTAGCTTCTTTTTTTTTAAGGGATTTTATGACCTGGTAACTGAGACCTTTAAGTCATGTCTTATTTTAATTTATAATCATATTTTTATGAAAAATTATATTATGGAGTGAAATGATATGAAGATGATTAATTTGACATTAATCAGCTGGGATGAAATTAAATGAAATGAAATGGGATGAAATATAAAATTTCAGTAAAATGGTGGTCATTTACTAAGATTTTTTCAGTGGATTTTTTGGAGGATCCCGAAAAGTTACGTCCAGCGACTTTGTTTCATTTTCCCACATTAGTGCACTTTCACAGATATTAAACAGTTAATAAACCACCATTATTACACATTTAAACCTGAAGAAACACTTAATAGACAAAATAAAACAAATCACACAACTTCACTCCTCGCGTTCCCGCCAAAAAGTCTCATTAGCTTCTTTCGACACTAATGTTGTCAGTATCGAGTTTATAAAAATCTTTAATTATTATATTAATACTTTAAATGAAAAATGGAGCGAAATGAAATAAAATTCGAATAAAATGGTAAAATTTACGGAGACTTTAATGGGCTTTTTGAAGAACCCGAGTATACATGAAGCCATTTTATTTTATTTTCCCACACTTGTGAACTCTCACAGATGCTAAACAGTTAATAAGCCACTGTTGTCACACATTTAAACGTATAGAGTAAATGAACAACATACAATTCACACAACTTCTCTCCCCGCGTTCTCCACTCAAAAGTTTAGACTATGGCAAATGGCATATATACATAAGCTTCTCGTGTTAGTCTATGAACAAGGAAACACTGTTTTTTAAAAGTTAAATGAATAGTCTTTTAATTAGTTCCTTGATGCTTGGCTTGTTTTAACATAGTGAATATATAAGATATTATTTTGGAGATTGGAAAATTCTAGTTTTATATGGTGCCTTTCTTGATATTGCATTACCTATTATGCATATTGCATACCACTACCCTGCAAATTTCTGCCGTGAAGCAGTAACGGCTACCCCACCCTTCGAACCGAAACGCATTACTGCTTCACGGCGGAAATAGGCGGGGTGGTGGTACCTACCCGTGCGGACTCCCCAGAGGTCCTACCACCAGTGATCCCATATCATCTCATTTCATTTAATTTCATGCCATTTGATTAATGTCTCAAATTAATTATCTTCCTTTCTTTTCATTTCACTCCATATTATCATTTTTATAAAAATAAGAATATAAATTAAAATAAGACATGACTTAAAGGTCTTAGATACCAGGTCCTAAAATCCCTTTAAAAAAATCACAAATTTAAATTCCAAAATGGCGGATCGCTAAGGGGCGCCTGACGGCCGTGGTGAGATCATTCACATCTCTTCAACTGTTGTCAGCTGTTTGCCAAATGTATAGAATATTCAATTTCTACCAAAATCCACTTTATTCTCTTTGTTTGATGTAAGAAAGTATGAAAGTTATGACGGTCGAATTCTCTCATAAATCTCAATTTGCATTGGTAGTTTTTTATTTATATTATTAATACAACTTTATGTAATGGATTGATTCACAGAATAATCTACATACCAAAGCTACGTCCGCAGACAATCAATCATCAGTGTTGCCAGCTCACCGAAACAAATACCGAAAATATACGATTTATTTATTTATTATTGGAACAAACATTTTATTTACAACGTTATGAAGATTCTCTTCCTGTGCAAGAAAACGCCGACCGCTAACCATATCAACATGGCGCCGGCGTGTGTTGCCAGTAATTGAGCGTGCGTCGGCGCCTCGAGGTACCAGTGCAATGGGAAGTGACGCTTCAACAGCTCTGAGCCGACGTAAAGGAATAGAGCATTTTGACCTGGAAACGGAGAAGAAATGTTAGCACGCTCCCATTAGCTAGGCCTGTACAGTGCACGACAATAAATATCGCACATCGACCCTTAGAAAGAGACAATCGGCTGATTTCGACTTCGTAGAGCGCTATCTCTGTCGCACACTATATGATGCTTGTCAGTCGACGTTCAAGTGCCTTGGTGTGCGGTCGTGCGTGTTTCGTGTTGAGTGCTTAGTGTGAGTTTGTTAACGTTCTCGATAGCGTAAAAGTTAACTCAAATTTATATGGAGTTGGAACGTTGGAACGCTATGGGCGCTGTTCCAACTGCATACAAATTTGAGTTAACTTTTACGCTATCGAGAACGTTAATAAAACTGGCACTAAGCACACTGATTATAATACAATAATCTCATTAATGTATTACATTAATTAATGTTGTAGATGTTTATCGACTCCAGTAACCACTTAACACCAGTTGAGCTGTGAGCTCGTTCACCCATTTAAGTAACAAATTTTTTTTTATCATTGCCCTTTCAATGTCAAATTAATAATAAATTTAGTTTGAATGAAAACTAAAAGTGAATTCCCATAGACAAATAATGCAAAAACTCACCAGCGTAATACAGAGGTCTGCCGCCCCACTTGTTCTTCAGATCGACGATGAAGTACAGCACGGCCTGTATGAAGAACGCCATCGATGACGTCACGAGACAGTAGGACACCGACCACAGGTTCTTGTTGATGGGCACCGGGCCGCCGTTCTTAGAGAACATGCAGAGGGCGCCACCGCCGACGCCGAACATTATCGACCAGAATACCCAGCGCATTATCCTTGCTCTGTAATGTAGAAAAATAAAATTAGATTTATTAGATGTCGTCGTGGCCTAAAGGATAAGACGTCCGGTGCATTCCTGTGTAGCGATGCACCGGTGTTCGAATCCCGCAGGCGGGTACTAATTTTTCTAATGAAATACGTACTCAACAAATGTTCACGATTGACTTCCACGGTGAAGGAATAACATCGTGTAATAAAAAATCAAACTCGCAAAATTCTAATTTGCGTAATTACTGGTGGTAGGACCTCATGTGAGTCCGCACGGGTAGGTACCACTACCCTGCCTATTCCTGCCGTGAAGCAGTAATGCGCTTCGGTTTGAAGAGTGGGGCAGCCGTTGTAACTATACTTGAGACCTTAGAACTTATATCTCAAGGTGGGTGGCGCATTTACGTTATAGATGCCTATGGACTCCAGTAACCACTAAACACCAGGTGGGCTGTGAGCTCGTCCACCCATCTAAGCAATAAAAAAATTATTCAATAGTACATATTATGACGCAGGGCCCTAAAACTGCAATACTTTAAGACAAATATCTATTTTTCTGTATGGAAACTAGCGACATCTTGTAGCGGATGCCCCTAAACTTATAATATAGACATAATATGGACTTATACTATAGAAACAGAAAATAAAAATAATAATAAATCATATAAGTCTTTATTTCTTATAGAGAAATTGATTAAATTTTATCAATTTGTAGTTTCTGGAAATCTACAAAATCCTTCATTAAAAATAAAATATAGGATAGGTAATATGTTACTGTCATCTACAGGAGCAATGAGCAACTAATCGAAGCGAAGCCATCTAGTGGCCGACGCCCGTAAACATTTTTGTTGAGTGCTTGAGTTACTTATCTATAACTATTTTATGTGTATTATCTATAGTATGGTGGTAGGACGGCTTGAGAGTCCGCATGGGTAGGTACCACCACCCTGCCATTTCTACCACAACGGCTGCTCCATCCTTCAAACCAAAACGCATTACTGCTCCACGGCAGATAAAGGCAGGGTGGTGGTACCTACCCGTGTGGACTGATAAGAGATCCTACCACCAGAAAAAGAGGTCCTACCACCAGTACAAGAGGTCCTACCACCATTACAAAAGGTCCTACCATCAGTACAAGAGATCCTACCACCAGCACAAGAGGTCCTACCACCAGCACAAGAGACCCTACCACTAGTACAAGAGGTCCTACCACCAATACAAGAAGTCCTACCACCAGTACAAGAGGTCCTACCGCCAGGGCAAATGAGATGTGCCTAGTCTATTGAAAATCTATACAAACCTAGCGTGGTTGTAGGCAAGCATGATCCTGGTGGCGTGAGCGCCAGCCTGCACCACCAGCACTCCTGAGAAGACGCCCAGTATACCCTCAGGGTCGTGAGGCACGACGGTGCGGTACAACTCCTTGAAGGTTCCACCTCGGTACAGATGCGCGGGGCCCAGTAGCGTTCTGTTCAAAACAATATATACCCTAGTATCGGTTCAAATATACGATACAGCAGGAGAAAATCCTTTATGAAGTCGGTTAAGAAAAAAAAAAATTTTTCGCCTTGTGGCGAAACATTTTGTTCCCTCACGCGCATGCGCGTGCGAAGAAATCTAGGAGGCCATGATCCCCGCCATTACAAAAAAAAAGCATTGTACATTTTTAATAAACATTTTACTAGACCTTTTGGCGGGAACGCGAAGAGTGAGGTTATGTGATTTGTTTTATTTTGTCTATTTAGTGTTTCTTCAGATTGAAATCCAAAAATGGTGGTTTATTAACTGTTTAGTATCTGTGAAAGTGCACAGATGTGGGAAAACGAAACAAAGCCGCTGGACATAACTTCTCGAGATCTTCAAAAAAGACCACTGAAAAAGTCTTTGTAAATAACCACCATTTTACTGAAACTATATTTCATCCCATATCATCTCATTTCATGCCATGCCATGTTTCATATTAATCAAATTCATTTCATTTCATTTCATTTCATATTATCATTATTCATATACCAAAAAGTGATAATGTAGTCTTCATTAAAATAAAACTTGACCTAAAGGTCTTAGTTACCAGGTCATAAAACCCCTAAAAAAACTATTTTATTATTTTATTTATAGCCGCTTTTATTTAAGCGTCCTGAAACCTCTCTTTCTGACAATGCGTCCAAAGAACCGCCCATACCTATCGATGTATCCTGCGATCCCTCCGGTACAGTTCTTGAGCGAGTGGTTGCCGGCGGCCGAAAGGTGTATCCCGCCTGGACCGGAGTACCCTCGGGGACAACCCGGAGCCGCCACCGTCAAGGATATGCAAACCTAAAAACATTTTAATTTTTTTCACTTGATCAGGCAAAGGTATCTTAGCACGTACAGCCAATTTTTAACTTTTTCATATAGCTGGACGAGCTCGCGATCGATCAAGATGAGTAAACTAACTATCGAAGTCGCGTCTGAGACCATGCTAAATACATTTAATTTGTGGTACGCGCCTTTATCCCTCAACTGACCACAGAGTACCCACCGTTAAAATGTCTTCAACTTTCAAGTTGAGCAGCATTGACCTTTCCACGGTAGCAACGTCCGATTCAAAGTTATTACGACTCGATCAGCTACGAGTGCTGACGCGGCTATCGACTCCCGACTTACGGATCCTCCCGATCCAATAACGGTGCTCGACGAGTAAATTAACCCACAGACACAGCCCACTGAGTTTCTCTCCGAATCTTCTCAGTGGGTCGCGTTTCCGATCCGGTGGTAGATTCTGCGAAGCACGGCTCTTGCTAGGGTTCGTGTTAGCAACGTCGTCAGGTTTGAGCCCCGAGAGCTTACCTACACGTCAAGGAGATATATAGCTTCTCAAGGCTATCAGCGTAGGTAGGAAATAAAATTACTCCCGATGCGAGAGAATTGCAATAATTTTTACATTTCTTGCTAATTCTTCTCAGGACGGAGGCTAGTTTTTGTGAATTGGCGGTAGTTCTTTTGACGTTCAACAAGTATGTACTTTCATTTATGTTGAATAAAATTTGTGTGATTTGATTTGATTTGAGAATGGCTCATCATGGCGTCATTTATAAATTTTTGATTTTCAATAAAAAATTAAATTATTATCACTGACCTGTATAGCGACGAGCAGTATGGTAGCGAGCCACTGCTGCCACCCGGTCGCGATGTCCCGTAATAATGAACGGCCTAAAACAAAAACACCGTCAAACTTGCCAATGAAATAATATCCAAATATGGAAGTCGTCGTGGCCTAAAGGATAAGACGTCCGGTGCATTCGTGTTGAAGCGATGCACCGGTGTTCGAATCCCGCAGCCGGGTACCAATTTTTCTAATGAAATACGTACTTAACAAATGTTTACGATTGACTACACGGTGAAGGAATAACATCAAAACCGCAAAATTATAATTTGCGTCATTACTGGTCTACACCGGGTAGGTACCACCGCCCTGTCTATTTCTGCCGTGAAGCAGTAATGCGTTTCGGTCTGAAGGGCGGGGCAGCCATTGTAACTATACTGAGACATTATAACTTATATCTCAAGGTAGGTGGCATTTACGTTGCAGATGTAACCTCTTAACACCAGGTGGGCTGTGAGCTCGTCCACCCATCTAAGCAATAAATAAAAAAGATTAATACCAGACCCGACTCTGTCATGGTCTTCTCGCGTGGACGACGGTACCTGGTGTGATGTTCTGCGTTGTCCTCATGAGCGCGCACTCGAGGGCGCCCACGATGAGGTACATCGCGGCGAGGCGCTGCAACACTCCCGGGAGACGGACGTCGGTCCAGGTGCTGTTCGCCGAACCCAGGACTATCCCGATGAGGGACAGGAACAGCGAGCGACGGACCACCTGTTCAATGAAAATCGACGGTCAATTCTAAGTGAGACCTTAGAACTCATGCCTCAAGGTGGGTAACGGCATTCACGTTGTAGATGTCTATGGGCTCCGGTGGCCACTTAGCACCAGGTCGGCCGTGAGCTCGTCCACCCGTCTAAACAATAAAAATAAAAATTTCAATGCAGACTTTTTTAATTTCTCTAGACAAACCAGCATAATCTTCTTCCACTAAACAAGGACGCAAGAACTCTGACGTCATCAGTAACTCTGATTTGTAAACAGTTGATTTCCCTCGCCCACCTGTCCATTGAAACTGGAATGGCCTCCAGGCCACCAGTAAGCCCTCAATCACAAAAAAAAAGGTAAGTCACTTTTGGCGGGAACGCGAGGTATTGTATATGCCTGCAAATTGTGTGATTTGTTTTATTTTGTCTATTTAGTGTTTCTTCAGGTTTAAATGTGTAATAACGGTGGTTTATTAACTGTTTAGAATTTGTGAAAGTGCACAAATGGGGGAAATTTAAACAAAGCCACTGGACGTAGCTTCTCGGTATCCTCCAGAAAGTCCACTGAAAAAGTCAAAGTAAATGACCACCATTTTACTACATTTCACTTCATTTAATTTCATCCCAGTTGATTAATGTCCCAAATTAATCATCTCCATTTAACTCCATATTATCATTTTTCATAAAAATAAGAACATAAATTAAAATAAGACATGACTCGAAGGTCTTAGTTACCAGGTCATAAAATCCTTAAAAAAAAACAAGGACTCGCGAACTATGACGTCATCAGTAACTACATTGCGCTCTCTGTCAATAAACAAAAACTAACGCTTCTCATTTGTAAACAGTTAATTTCGTTTCTATCTCTATTTTTCCTGTCATCAGTAATACCGACCTGATAGAAAGCCGTAGTCCTCGGCATGGCGGTGCGAAGCTTAGTGTTGAGCGACAGAACTAGGGCCTCCCCCATGGTGAAGGCGAACCACGGAAACACCACATCGGCCACCGTTAACCCATTCCACGTGCTGTGAGCGAACACCGAGTAACCACCGCCGCCTGCGTTCACGAAGATCTGGGGGGAAGCACGGGAATTTGACTCTTGAGTCCTTATCGTCAAATTTTTAGTAAGACAGGTTACTAAATACTTTGAACATAACGGATAGGGCGTCGCTGGAAAATGACGCGCTGACATACCTTCCTACATCTGCGAAAAGTAGGAGAGGTGGAAGAAATATGGCAACTGAATCACAGCCGGATCCGACTAATGACGTAAGTCCAAACTCGCAACCTAAAAGCCCGTTGCGAACAATTCTTCGAATGTAGGAACGCTGACCCTACCACCATGCGGGGTGCTTTTTTTTTTATTGCTTACATGTGTGAACGAGTTCACAGCCCACCTGGTGTTAAGTGGTTACCGGAGCCCTAAAACATCTATAACATAAATGCCGCCAGCCACCTTGAGATATAAGTTCTAAGGTCTCAATATAGTTACAATGGCTGTTCCACCCTTCAAACCGAAACGCATTACTGCTTCACGGCAGAAATAGGCAGGGCGGTGGTGTCTACCAGTACGGACTCACAAAAGGTCCTACCACCAGTGATTACGCAAATTATAATTTTGCGGGTTTGATTTTTATTCCACGATGTTATTCCTTCACCGTGGAAGTCAATCGTGAACATTTGTCAAGTACGTATCTCATTAGAAAAATTAGTACCCGCCTGCGGGATTCGAACGTCGTTGCATCGCTACATACGAATGCACCGGACGTCTTATCCTTTAGGCCACGACGACTTCAAGCTATCTAGGAAGAGAGTGAAAGAATCCTTATCCTCAAGATTGGAGAGTAACTGGGCCACGGATGACGGTGGTGGACCGTTTGCTTGAAACACTCGGTTTGTCCACGACTGAATCAAACGAAAGGATGATCTTCTTCTTTTTCCCCACCTTACCCCACTAGGTGGGGTCGGCACAGCTAATTTTTCTCTTCCATTCTCTTCTATCAGCCGTCATCTCAACACTCACTTCTCTCTCTCTCATATCGTCATTCACACACTCCATCCATGTCTTCTTCGGTCGACCTCTTCCCCCTCTACCTTGCACTACCATTTCCATACATCTCCTAGTCACATGCATCTTCTCTCTACGCATCACATGTCCATACCACGCTATGATAAAACTTTAAAATAAACTTCCTCACCATTAGAGCTATGGCGAATCCCCTGAAGATGTCCAGTGACCGCAGCCTGGACCTCACCGGGGGCCTCACCACGCTCACCTCGGTCAGCACTCTGGTTTCCGAACCGAGCTCGTTATCTTCTCTGCGAAATTATTTATTTATCTGAACAATAGAACCTCTTTAGTCAGTCTAAGCTATCGATTTAAATTGAAAGAAATAAATAATAACATTAAAAATTTATAAATATTACTAAAGTTTTATTATAACGATTAATTCGAACGCTAAGTTTAGTGTTCCGCAAAAATTAATCTGAAAGAAAACTACCCTCGACTTATAAATAAAATAAATTTGAATTAAAAACGGTGTAAGAAATTTAATGGTTTTTAATGGTAGGCAGCGGCTTGGCTCTGCCCCTGGCATTGCTGACGTCCATGAGCGACGGTGACCACTTACCATCAGGTGGGCCGTATGCTCGTCTGCCTACAAAGGCAATTATTTAAAAAAATTGGATTTTATTGTAAAAAAGCGTGGGGTGCTTTTCAGGATACTATCAAAATAGCCCTTCTACTGATACCATGCACCCCACGCTTTTTTTTATAATACAATAAAATCATTTTTCTTACACTATTTTTAATTCAAATTTATTTTCTATTTTAAGTTGGATTTTCTATAAAAGCGTATTTTGTTAGTTTTTATAAACTATTATTTATTTTTCATTTTTTAGTTGAATTTAATTTTTTCCAATTTTTTTGTTTCAATAATTTTTTTAAATATTGAATTGTCATCAATCCTTAATAAGTATACCAAATTTCGAGTTAATCCGACGTTTTGAAGGGGGTCAAAATCATGTTCAAATATTCCGCTACAAACATATATAGGTCTGAAGCTAATAAAAGCGTATTAAAAAAATCAAATCCTTACCTGGCAAAGAATCTCGCGTAGAGTCTACCGGCCACCACCCTTTTCCCGATGCCTTTCACGACGTACCACATCGTGGCCATGGACAGCAGTATGAGGATCGTTGTCAGGATCGGGAGGTAGGCGGCGTCCGGTTCCGCAGTCATGCGGGGCAGGCATTTATTCTTTGCGCCCTCGGTGAGATTGAAAACGTATTGTCCATATTCGCCGAACTGATACGATCCTGGCAAGTAACACGATCAGCTATTACAACTGGTGGTAGGACCTCTTGTGAGTCCGCACGGGTAGGCACCACCACCCTGCTTATTTCTGCCGTGAAGCAGTAATGCGTTTCGGTTTGAAGGGTGGGGCAGCCGTTGCAACTATACCGAGACCTTAGAACTTGTATCTCAGGGTGGGTGGCGCATTTACGTTGTAGATGTCTATGGACTCCAGTAACCATTTGACACCAGGTGGGCTATGAGTTCGTCCACTCATCTAAGCAATAAAAAAAAAGTACTGAATGGTTTTTAAGCAGAATTCAATTGGAGATGCAATTTAAATAAATATGTATAGGTATTGTTATTTGTTTTCCTACCTAAGCTGATAGCCTTGATGGGCTATTTCAGCTTTAGCCTAGCGTGTAGGTAAGCTCTCGGGGCTCAAACCGGAAGTGTTGCTAACACTAGCCCTAGCAAGAGCAGTGCTTCGCAGAATCTACCACGGGATCGGAAACGCGACCCACTGAGAAGATCCGGCGAGAAACTCAGTGGGTTAATTTACTCGTCGAGCCCTTCGTCGCAAGCGACGGGTTCGGCGAGGACGGTGACCTAAAAGCACCGTTAGTGGATCGGGAGGATCCGTAATGACGATATTGTATATTCCTGCTATTTAGTGCACGTGAATGAAGTGAAACTTCTTTTGCGGCGTGTAGTATTGTTTTCTTCATTTTTCATCTTTAAATCAAATTTAAAAAATCGGTTGTCTGTAAAGTCGGTTTACTGACGATAGTTGAACGTGACAGCGTCATAAGAAAATAAGCCTCAGAGCGAGGTAACGCCGCATGAGTCATGTTTTTTCGTGCGTGCAGCCGGCTCCATCGAATTATAAGACGTTGTCACGTCAAAAAGTATTTCTCTATTCCAACTTATTTTTAATCTCATCTATTTTTATTGTCACTTAATTATTTCAAACGCATCGAGTATTTTACGGTTTACGTGATCGCAAACGACCGACGCTAAGAAACGCGAAATTAAACCATAAATGTGGTTCTAATTATTGTTCACGACTCACTAAAACCAAAGTAAACACTACATATACAATATTAATATAAAAAATATATACATAAAGAAAAAAAAATCTAATATTTAAAAAAAAGACATGCCCGCTGAGTTTCTTGCCAATTCTTCTCAGGACGGAGGCTATTTTTGTGAATTGGCGGTAGTTCTTTTGACGTTCGACAAGTATGTACTTTCATTTATTTTGAATAATAAATAATTTTTGATTTGATTAGACGTATGAAGCTGTTTCGTTTACGTTATATATTTAATTGAAACATTAGTATAGAATGACTTCAGATGGTGTCATAATTAGCGCTCCTGACTGTCCCGCCGAGGGTCGCGGGTTCGATTCTCACATCGGCCCAAGCATATTTAGTATGGTTATCAGTCTCTGGTACCCATAATGCTTGTTTCATTAATACAAAAGGACGTAGCCACTGGTTTTTACGATTGAAAGATCCAATTAAACATTTCACGCTACAATTCGCTAAGATTTCACGTGCGACAACCGCTTTTTTATGTCTATCAAACTAGTTTTTCGCTGTTCAGTATTTGTATATAAAGTATTCAATCTCATTTTTATATCGACGCTTGAAAGGCAAACGTGACTACGCGACAATAACTGCTCTATACATAAATGATAGGCAATAATCATATTCGATGCGCAAAAAATATATATTTCTAGGTCTATTAAAATCATTTCAATCCTACAGCTAGATTCGTTAAAATAGAATTTTTTTCAGGTATTTAAACTTTAAATTAGTCTACTGTAAAGTTCACGCATTGTCGTTTAGTCACGTTTGCCTTTCAAGCGTCGATATTCACATCTCCCTAATTTCTAAGATAATTGACTGGTTGTAGTAAGAAGAGTAAGAAGGCGGTTATCGTAATGCAATCAAGGTTTTAACCACAAAAGCAAGGCTAGAAGCATTCACTATTCTCTAGACGGCGTGATTAAGACGGAAGCGTCACGTCTTCATCTACTAGAGAATCTTTTGGCTGGTCTAGGGGACTATTTCAGCAACGTCCGAACTGGTAGATGAGCTCACGGGCTCAACCTGAGAGAATTTGCTAACACTAGCCCTAGCAACCTACTGGTAGGACCTATTGTGAGTCCGCACGGGTAGGTACCACCGCCCTGCCTATTTCTGCCGTGAAGCAGTAATGCGTTTCGGTTTGAAGGGTGGGGTAGCCATTGTAACTATACTGAGACCTTAGAACTTATATCTCAAGGTGGGTGGCGCATTAACGTTGTAGATGTCTATGGGCTCCAGTAACCACTTAACACCAGGTGGGCTGTGAGCTCGTCCACCCACCTAAGCAATAAAAAAAATTAAAAAAAAGAGCAAGAGCAGTGCTTTGCTGAATCTGTCACCGGATCGGAATCGCGACCCATTGAGAAGATCCGGCGAGAAACTCAGAGGACTTTTTAAATCTGCCATACAGACGCCTCATTCTGCAAATGTCAGCAACCTGTTTGATTCGGCTCGTTGCAACAGAATACTCGCGAAACAAGTTTGCCAACGCCGTGGAAATATTTGCATAGATTATGTTTAAAACTAGTATCAGGCGTGCGCATTCCTGAGAGTGCTGCTTATAGATTGTACATAAAAGGTGTAGGTAGGTGCAATTTTATGAGGGAAACTAAAGATACAATGTATTAACGCAAACAAAAGACAGGTACAGGTGCGGAGGGACTTCGGTTCCCTCTGTATTTTGTACCGTATGTTCCATGGGGAGTGCTCTGAGGAATTGTTCGATATGATACCGGCATCTCATTTTTACCATCGCACCGCCCGCCACCAGAGTAGAGTTCATCCATACTACCTGGAGCCACTGCGGTCATCCACAGTGCGTTTCCAGAAGTCTTTTTTGCCACGTACCATCCGGCTATGGAATGAGCTCCCCTCTACGGTGTTTCCCGAGCGCTATGACATGTCCTTCTTCAAACGAGGCTTGTGGAGAGTGTTAAACGGTAGGCAGCGGCTTGGCTCTGCCCCTGGCATTGCTGAAGTCCATGGGCGACGGTAACCACTCACCATCAGGTGGGTCGTATGCTCGTCTGCCTACAAGGGCAATAAAAAAAAAAAAAAANAAGGGCAAAAAAAAAAAAAAAAAGGTAAATAAAAACCAAACAAGCCATATCAGCGCAACACATGAGTAGATAATGAACAAAAATAACTGAAATGAATGACTTAACATTTACAGAAAGGTAATAAATAAATAAAAAACTGCTATTATTACAAATCACACCTAAATCACCTTAAAAAATAAAACCAAAATTACACTTCTATGTTTTTCAAGCGATAAAAAAAATTTGTCTACATTGAAGAATTTCGCATCAAGTACCTATCATACATGATCTATGAGCAAATGTATACGAAGCATATTTGTTCGTGCAGCGGACAGTTGGAAGTTATATAATTTATGCGCTTTGCAAGCGCATAAATTATTAAAACGTTTTAGTTTTATGTGCACTCCTCACGTATCCAGTTTCAATTTGAAATGGATATTGAAACAGTAATAATTTACTCATATTATCACAGCAGAAAATGAACACATAAACAGTTTTATAAATAAACAATGTTATGTTTTATTTGGAAAGTAATGTCTCGAATGGTGGATTTCTTCGGACACGTTTTGAGACGAGATGGGGTCAAAGAACGCCTCGTTGTACAGGGAAGGGTTGATGGTACAAGACCACGCGAGAGGTCACAAATGTGGTGGATTAAGCAAATTAAAACTGCAGTGGGAGGTCTAAAGGAAACTAAATGAGTGCAGTAGAAAGGCCTCAAGCAGGGAGATGGCGGGACATCGTGAGACACGTTAAGTCTGCCCCCTCCAACACTACATGACGATCACAACCACTCTGTCAAGAGTGACACGATTGAGAAGAAGAAGAAGAGTGTTTTATTTTTTTACAAGGTGTTATTCCTTTATTCTACACTTCATATATTATTAGAACCATTAGTACCTGCCTCTGAGATTCAGATACCAGCACATTCAAATCACTAGATTCGAAAACACCAGGCATCTTATCCTTTAGGCCACAACGATTTCATCTCATAAACTACTATTTTATAAAAACTCAATCAAAACGAAAAATCGATGGAACTTTGTTTTATTCTTTATATCAGAATCGAGATGAAAACTAGAATTGGACACATTCCAAAATTCACCAATAATTTGCCATGAAAGAATAGCTTTTATCAAAATAAAAACTGGCATCTCATTTGCATAGCTGCTGGAGAAGTTGTTGATCTGTCTACATTAGGTACAGCTATGCTATTCTTGCCGTGAAGCATATCCAGTGGGGTGAAGTGAAATCATATGCATTATACTTGTGACTTGGACCTCTCAAAATGGGATGTATATTCAAAAAAATTTTTCATCAACTTCTATCCTATTTGTTGTTTGTTGATGGTACCGCAAACCTTCTTTTTTTCAGATGGTGCTTTGATATTTAATAAACTTAAACATGGAATAATCATTGAAAAACCATCCATGCATCTAAGTCCCTTCTGTGAGTGATTCCACAAACATAATGTGCAATTGAATTTTTTTTTCAACTTTAGTTACACAATTCCTACCCTATTTTTGTTTTATATATTCAATTGTGTATTAATATACATTAAAATAATTATTAATTATATACAATACAGTGCCAGTAACTAAAATTTGATTGTCATACAGATAGAAATGGGTTACAAAAAAAATTAACACAAAGATAATAATATTACACAGATGTCAAACTTTTTAAAAACAATATGTATTTAATTAGAACATTGTTGTGACTCATTCCGATTTGCAATTGGCAATACCCAAAAGGTTGTATTTCAAATTTGCATTCCACACATGTGTTAAGAAAATATGTGTCAATCATAATTATTTTTGTATTGTTATGAAAAAAACCCTATAGTTTAGTACATACTTGCCACATGTACTTTATTTTACCTAGTACCAAATTTTTTTCATTGTTCTACAGATGCTTTTACGGCCCACTTAGAACAATCTATCCAGTATCAGCAACAAAAAATGCTTGTCTGTACTTTAAATTGGCACCCAGATATCTCAAATACTAACTTCAGATATTGCTTTAAAAAGAAAATTCCAGTTAACTTTTATTTGCCAATGACTAATTTGTAGTATTTGTAATTAGAACAATGAATAACTTATAACTCTTACTAAAAAGCTCTTAGCCCCGGATTACATAGGAACTTAAGCCTATAGATACCAGAAAGTGAATTACCTAAAAATGTGGTATAATTTTCGATTTTACAATCTGAATATCTGACCTACAATTTGATTGCAGAGGCAGGATTGTGGTACCTACTCCTGCAGTCTTACAATATACCCTACTACTGCAAATTTACATTTCCTATTACTAATGTTATTCCTTCATTCCACAATATATCCTCCTTAACGGCAAATTAACTAGAGCTTTAGTTTTTTTTTTTTNCTAAAAATGTGGTATAATTTTCGATTTTACAATCTGAATATCTGACCTACAATTTGATTGCAGAGGCAGGATTGTGGTACCTACTCCTGCAGTCTTACAATATACCCTACTACTGCAAATTTACATTTCCTATTACTAATGTTATTCCTTCATTCCACAATATATCCTCCTTAACGGCAAATTAACTAGAGCTTTAGTTTTTTTTTTTTTATATGAAAAACACAAGGGTTAATTAATTAATGGCTTAATTTATGAATTGATTTCGCGGTAAAAACGACTAACTAATATGACGATTAGTGACTGTTACAGGCTGCAGCCATGTCAATGACCTCATTTCGAAAAAACGCAATAACGTTTTTTCCATACAAAAACATAATAGTATTTACAATCTAAATAATTTTCACGCTAAAGCATCTTCGTGACTGTTTGTTTGTTTACACAATGAATCTACTGGCCTTATCTGAAATTCATTAGCTCGAAAAGCAAACAAAGAGTAACTTAAATTTTATACCTTTGCATATTATTCCACTGCTGTTTTTCAGAGCGTAGAGCAGAGTGTCGGAGGTGCGGACTATAATCGGATCAGACATCGGGAACGTTGCTGTTGGCAGCAATTTGCACCCATCACACTCCGCATATTGGCTCCATATAGTAACTTCTTGATCGGTCAAAATACTCAAACACGCTTGGTCGTAACGCAACGTAGTACCATTGCACTCTCTAATAAATGAGCCGACATTTTGAAAACCGAACCCCATTATTAAAAACACATTCGATATCTTTATTTAGTTTTATCTTGTGATATTAAGTTTTATAATATCAACTGAAAACACCTTGAAAATACTAACTCGAAATGTCAACTTGTGAGTGAATCATTTCACATCTGTCATCATACAATGCTAGTGATGTTCAACAAACATCGATCTATCGAAATATAGATTGAAGCTAGTCTATCCAGCGAACTAATTCGATTTAGATAATATTTTTTAAATTTAAAATTCATTCATAGGGAATTGTATTACGCTATGAAATCTTATCACGTCAAATCACTATATTTCTGCTCGGGGGCATTAAAAACATTGAAATTTTTATTTGATGTATTGTAAAAACTTAATGCCACGATTCGAAGCTTCATCTTGAGAGAAACACCGAATTATTTTCTGCTGGAAATCAACACGCCTGCATACAACTTTTGTAAGAGTAATAGTGTTTCCTTTACATTTATGTTAAGTAATTTTAGGACAGAAAAGTTTTATTTTTTCTTGTATGCATTTACTTTCTATAAACAAACATCAGTTGCCTCGTTAACTTTCCATAAAAAGTAATTGTGCCTGGCTTTAAGTACAGAACCAACTCAGACGACGGGGCAGCGCAAAGCCGATGTCTTCCTTCGAATCCTCCCGATTCACTCTCGGTGCTTTTAAGTTCTCCTAACACCGATCACCGTTCTCGTCGAATACGACGAAGAGTTCGACGCGCAACCCAGACCATAGACACAGCCCACTAAGCTTTTCGCGATTCCGATGCGATGGTAGATTCACCAATGCACTGCTTTTATTAAAGCTAGTGTCTGGGTAGCAATTTCTTTCAGCTTGAGCAGCGTGAGCTTACCAACAGCTCGCATGTAGTTGGAATAGCCCCTTAGGCTATCAACGATTAGGTAGGGGAAAAAGACGATTAGGTCGTTTGGACATAAGCCCGACCCAAGACTCGTCATAACGACCGGTCCGGCGCTTCCTTCATACAGTGGATCCCCGTGACCTTTAATAGATCGTGGGTCCACTTTGTGGGACTACTGAGGGATAATTAAAAGTCTATTAATTTACTTTTTAGTCTATTATTTTACTTTACTCATAAAAAACGCTTCTCTGTCCTCCATTAAAGTAATAATGGCCCATATAAGTTTTAAGCTAATTTAACATTGTTAGTCACGAATAAGTTTATTGCATGCAAAATTTATGTTAGGTAGCTATTTTGTTTTACTTTTGAGATTGTATATTCCATAAATTACGCTTAGAAAAAAAAGGAAATATTCTAAATTACATCAGAGACAAACCAAATCATTAATAAGAAAAAAGGGAATTACGATGAAATTTTGTTTAAGTTCAAAAACTTCAAACCTAAGCTGGAAAACTAAAAGATAATAACAATAACTTAATTAGATATTTATACAATTTTTCTTTGATATCTTCAGGCAACGCCACGGATTTTACTTCTTTGTCTTTGTTAACTTCGGCGTGCCATGCCGAGAGCAATGACGGAGGTGGCATAAAGAAGTTCCAAATCTTGTTCGGCATTGTCACAATAAGAGCACAATAGGGGCCTTTGAAAAACAACTGAAAATAGAAAACAAAATATTTACCTTATGTAAACATTGACAGGTGGTAGGACCTTTTGTGAGTCCGCGCGGACAGGTACCACCACCCTGCCTATTTCTGCCGTGAAGCAATAATGCGTTTCGGTTTGAAGGGTGGGGCAGCCGTTGTAACTATACTTGAGACCTTAGAACTCATATCTGAAGGTGGGTGGTGCATTTACGTTGTGAATGTCTATGGGCTCCAGTAACCACTTAACATCAGGTGGGCTGTGAGCTCGTTCAACCATCTAAACAATAAAAAAAAAGTATGTAAACGATTTAAAATATTTATCTACAAAATATTGATGCAAATATGCTCTCCTACACAAATAGCTTTATTATTAATTGAACTGATAATTAGCCTGTAAGAATCGCGTTTAACCCTTCCCTGTGTATTTTTGAATAAGCCTTACCTCTAGCACCGCACCGTCATCACATGAATCGACTAAATTAATATCAGATTTGTCTTCATGTATCATGCTGGAAAAAATAATAAAAATATTATATTTAATCAACGTAAGCTTCCAAGGACAACATTAATGGAACAATATGCTGTATTTTTTAAACTTTGATAGTGTAACATCTCGAATATATTAAGTGTATAATCTATGGTGTAACATATGGAGGGGTCAAAGGCTATTTGGTTTAAAAATTTCGCTTGATACGCGACATTTATTTTTGTAATTAAAGGTCCGTTTCATTTGGTATTAGCATCAACAGTTTGATGTTTTTAATTGAACTTCAATTAAGTTTAAGTTCAAGAAGTTATTTGTTATAGTACTTTTTGAAAAATTTAACCTTTAAACGGTTCTCCTGTAAAAATGAAAATGTTGCTTAAACGACCTCTTGGCTTTCACCCCTCGATATGTAATGCGTAAGTGAGAAGACGCGGAGGTACAATACTGCTTGAGCTAAAGTTTCAAGTGGTAATGGTTGTTTTTGTACATAGTAGTTGCAGTTATGGAGGTGGTAGAGGTAAGGAAAACCGTCTCTGTATGTAAAAAGTGTCCGTTAAAATCTGCTAAATAAGGATGGCGCTACAGTAGCAACCGGGTAAATTTAAAAAAGGCGCTGAAAGTTATTTGAATAAGATAGAGAAATAAAAAAGGGCGAACGAACTGTAAGCACTACAAAATCACAAATAGTATGCTATTTAAAGCCGATAAGAAAATGCAATCGATGTCTCCATGTTTTATCACACCAATAATTCTAGGTTATATTGACGAAATTAGTTTGGACTACGTAAACATGTGAGGTCTTGTATATTACACTGTCACTAACTACTCTAGTCATTAAATATATTAAATTTCCTAACTCAGCATACTTCAATCAGTTAACAACTGCTCAACTCATATCATATACCCTATGCTAGCGCCATTCTGGAGGATTTTTGAACTGTTATTTAGTGCTGAAAGTGGGACACATTTTCAAGCTTCCTCCCATTATATGAGACGGTTCTCCTTATCTCTACCCTCCATAGTTGCAGTGTACGCAATCTGTGGCTACAGCTATCATCGAAAATGAGTACGCTTTTTGGCATGTAGAAGTTATTTATCGGTTTTTTTTTTCAAAATGATCTGTTAACTTTTATTTTGGAAAAAAACAGAACAGAAAAGAAAAGAGAGTATTCAGATTATGTAATAATTGTTTTAAATTGGTCGCTGTTTTTATAAATCAAAGAACCCTTTTTCTTGTCTTGTTGCAGCGAAGATGTAGCAAATCTTTTTTGCATACTTTGCGAAGGCCAACTTACATTTTATTGATGATTTGCCACAATTTTTTCTGCGCTTCAGCTAAATTGCCTCCATTTCCCGACGACGATTCATTGGTGTTTTTAGAATTTGTAATATTTGAATTCGAGTCTATTTTTGGTTTGAAACTTGTTAGCACTTTTTGTATTGTTTCAGTTGTTTGTTGTAATACGTGTCTAGAATAAAAAACAAACATCATTACGTTCAATATTTTGATAGCTTTTGTAGGTATGTAAGCGAGAAACTCCCGGATTTTATAAGGGTAGTAATCCATAGAGTATCTATAGAGGTTTCCCGCGTATACGAAAAAATGATGGCCGCACCTTTAGAATGTTTACATGTCAGAAAAATAAACAATTTGAAAATTAAATAAAACGTTACAGTTCTGAATTATTGATGTATGTACGACAGGCGTTAATTCCCTTACAAGTGTGGTGATACTTTATTAAAAAAAACGGTTCACAAAAGCATTAAAAATCAATCGCTTTTGCTGCTGAGACTAAAATACATTGTATAATTAACAATGTATGATATCGACTAGGAGTGCTGGCATTAGTAAAATTAAATAAAAATAAAAACTTCGAGCCGTATCGGCGACTTATCGATAACAAACGTCACCAGAACATCTACAGTGTACTTTACAGCGCCCCTAGCGGCAAACGTAGGCAAACGCTCCAACTCCATACAAATTTGAGTTAACGCTTACGTTATCGAGAACGTTAAAAATTCGTCGCAAGCGACGGGTTCGACGAGGACGGTGACCGGTGCTTGAAGTACCTAGAAGCACCGTTAGTGGATCGGGAGGATCCGAGATGACGTGTTTTGGGCGACGTCGACTGCTTTCCATTCTGTCCGCAGGATCGGGAATGTAATTGTCGGCGGCCACGATGAGAGGGTTCTCGTGTCGTGCCGCTTTATCGAAGTGGCGCATCGACGCCGACTGCATATACTTACTGGTGGTCTCTAAGTCCATGTCGTCGTAGAGGTCGACGTTCCTGACGAACCACGGGGCTCCGACGGCTATCCTGCAAAAACGGGATTGAATGTTTTGGAAGGATTTTAAGTGAGTGCGGGCCGCGTGCGCGAACACTACACTTGCATAGGTCATGACGGGGCGTATGCAAGTTTTAAAAACTCTCACTAAGCACGCAGTTCACTGCTCTATCTGTGTGCTTAATTCGAGTTTTTTAACGTTTTCGATAGCGTAAAAGTTAGCTCATATTTGTATGGAATGGGATCGCTTGCCTACGTTTGCCGTTAGGGGCGCTGTTCCAACAGCATGCAAAATTGGGTTAACTTTTACGCTATCGAGAACGTTAAAGAACTCGCACTAAGCACACTGAACTATCGGAGGAACGAACTTATAAACGATATTTTTCTAGATATGTTTGTGCAGCTGGTTGAAGGTAAATCATATACAGAAGTTACACTTTTCCACGTAAAATATTTTTTACAAAACTCGAAGAAATGTGGTTATGAAAATATTACCTGTTTTAAATAATTAGTTTTTAGTATTTTCGAAAAGAGAGTCGTTGACATACTTTAAAATGACTTTTTTTTATTGCTTAGATGGTTGGATGAGCTCACAGCCCACCTGGTGTTAAGTGGCTACCTACTGGAGCCCATGGACATCTACAACGTAAATGCGCCACCCACCTTGAGATACAAGTTCTGAGATCTCAGTATAGTTACAACGGCTGCCCCATCCTTCAAACCGAAACGCATTACTGCTTCACGACAGAAATAGGCAGGGCGGTGTTACCTACTCGCGCGGACTCACAAGAGGTCCTACCACCAGCAATTACGCAAATTATAATTTTGCGGGTTTCACTTTTATTACACGATGTTATTCCTTCACCGTGGAAGTCAATAGTGAACATTTATTGAGTACGTAATTCATTAGAAAAATTGTTACCCGCCTGGGATTCGAACACAGGTGCATCGCTCAACACGAATGCACCGGACGTCTTATCCCTTAGGCCACGACGACTTCAAAATGATGACTACAGTTTCATTGTACTATTTTGTAGTTACAATCGATTAAGATATTAATTTTTGAACATCAAACACTAGGTACGTTTAGTAATTTATTACAGCTATTAATTGAAGTTTCAGCTTTGAAACGTACGTGGCCTAAAGGATCAAAAAAACAGTAGAATATTTTGAAACAAAAATGGAAATTAAAAAATTAATGTATTTAGGTAAGGCCCATAAAAATGTACAGGTTCAAATCAGGTACAATTCAGGTACAAATCAGGTCATTTCTACCGCGAAATATATATTTATTTATTTCATAAATGAATGGTGTTAAGTAGTTACTCCAGCCCATAGACATTTACAATCTAAATATCGCCACCCATCTTGAAATATAAGTTCTAAGGTATAGGTACATTAGTTACAACGGCTGCCCCACCCTTCAAACCGAAACGCATTACTGCTTCACAGCAGAAACAGGGAGGCGGTACCTACCCGTGCGGACTCACAAGAGGTCTTACCGCCAGTTTAAAGGATTATTTAACGAGACTTTAACTTGGATGATAATATTCACATAATGTCTAAGAGCTTGGGTAACACTGAGTATATCATGTGCTCATCAACCCACCCAGTATTTAAATAAATGTGTTATTGTTCTTTGATTGAAAGCGTGAAGCCAATTCTAATTGTAATAAGGTTGAAAATTGGATAAAGTATTAAAAAATTTCTAATAATTCGCGACCTTAAGCGGCTTTAAGCGCGTTCATTCTTGTCAACTTATAAATTTTAAATGAGTCAAAATTACTTACTCATTAATAAGATATCCGTTGAGTGAGTAAAATTGGTCAGTTTTATTTTCATTGGCGTTTCTCAGCGTCAACGAATTCCAATCATCTTTCAAATTCAAAAACCAAACGTCGCCACTTTCGTACGCACTGGCCGGCACGTCATAGTCGTAATATTCAGTCGAGTCTATTCGAATGTCGTCAAGGTCATTGTAATCAAAATTATCGGCCATATTAATATTTTTTCCCGTAATTAACAAGAAATAGCATGATAAAATCATTAATCGAAACATATTCGTCTGTACCTCTTGTATACGCCACTAAATTAATAGTGTCATGTTTTTATATTGGCTAATAGCTAATATATTTGAATTTTCACACTTGTGTCAATAAATGTTTGAGCCAGTTTTATTTAATCAGGCACTCATTAAATTGGCTTCTTAAACAAAAACGTTATTCTAAGTAACACTTTTAGGATGTATTTTACGTTTGCATGGCGTAGTAATGAAATTGTTATTGAGAAATAACCTGTTGTTTGAATCCTAGAGCAAATGGTTTTCTTTTCTGTGTTACTTAGAGCCTCAATCTTGTTCATTGGCTTGTACCACAGTGAAGAATTTGATCATGTTTTAGAGAAGTGGTGTTCTATAAGACCCTTTATTATTATCTACCACCGGATCGTAATCGCAACCCACTGAGAAGATTCCAGAAGAAACTCATTGGGTCTATGAGATAGTTCCCTCTTCGAACTCATGTGACCAATGAATCACTCACATTCGCTATTTTGTGCTATAAAATATGAAAAGGTTTTTTCATGTTTGATAGTAAGCATTACTATGCCACGACACCAAATGGACATCCACGACTCTATGGGCTGTGCCTATGGGACGATCTCATTAATTACGACGATTACGATTTATTGGTGGTAGGACGTCTTGTGAGTCCGCACGGGTAGGTACCACCACCCTGCCTATTTCAGCCGTGAAACAGTAATGCGTTTCGGTTTGAAGGGTGGGGCAGCCGTTGTAACTCTACTTGAGACCTTAGAACTTATATCTCAAGGTGGGAGGCGCATTTACGTTGTAGATGTCTATGGACTCCAGTAACCACTTAACACCAGGTAGGCTTTAATCTCGTCCACCCATCTAAGCAATAATAAAAAATAAAAAATACTGGAATAAGCAGTCAAGGCAAAAATCTTCTCTTAAAAAGCTATTATTATTATAAAGTAAGGAAATACAAAAATGAAGCTCTCTTAAGTAGTTTTAAACATTTTATTTCCCATTAAAACTATCTTATATAATATTACTAAATGCAGACGACATATAAAAACAATAGAAAAATTAATTCTTATGTTCTAAGATATAAGTCTTCTTCATAATTTAATTAACGCCATAGATAATAAAAGATAGACCAAGAAATATATATTTTTTATTTAGTGCTCTACGGATCAATCGGATCAATTGGATCGTCGAATTCTTACAATTTATAACAATTGTAAGAATCCGACAGAAACTATCTCACCGTTATGTGTTTTTTTTTATCATACCATAGAGTAAACTTTTTTTTATGTTGTGGCAAATAGATAAAGTAGGGCTTTTGCGAATTGTACTATTTCCGAACCACCGAGTTTAGACTCTCCGTAGACACGATCCACAAATGAGATAGGCACCTCTCCAATTGAATAATCAAATTGCCTCGCTCTGTAAAGAAGAAGAAAGCCTTTAACTCCTGATGAATAGAATATCATTATATTTATTTAGGGCTATTATTTGGAACCAATCCAGCTTGAAGGGCAAGTAAAACTATTGTTTGTTTATTTATTTACATGAGCTTACGGCCCACCTGGCGTTAAGTGGTGACCGCAGTCCATAGACACCACAATATGAATACCACCACCCACTTTTAAGATTAATGTCTTATTGGACAGTAATTAGGCAAATTTACCTTTTTATTATTACACGATGTTCTTACTTTATCTTGGTAATCATTCGTGAACGCTTTTTTAATGTTTTTTGACTCACACGATGATGAACACGAAAAGTGTCACGTTCTGCCTGAGCCTAAGCGTGCAAGCGAGAGCACGGAGCAAACGATAGAGAGGCACGATCGGCCTAAGCGTTTACAAAACTTTACAGACAACTAATTTTTTTCGTATAACCAGTAGCATCGTTCGATACCGGTGTGCTTAGTGCGAGTTTTTTAACGTTCTCGATAGCGTAAAAGTTAACTCATTATTGTATGGAATGGAATCGTTTGCGTACGTTTGCCGCTAGGGGCGCTGTTGCAATTGCATACAAATTTGAGTTAACTTTTACGCTATCGAGAACTTTAAAAAACTCGCACTAAGCACACTGAGCACCATTTTGATTTTAGCAGTATTCAAATGCTCTGAACTTGTTATTCGTTAAACACATAAGGACAGTGACCACCTATGTTACAATTTCCACCACTAATGAGACCTTAATTCACTGGTGATAGGACCTCTTGGGAGTCCGCACGGGTAGGTACCACCACCCCGCCTATTTCCGCCGTGAAGCAGTAATGCGTTTCGGTTCGAAGGGTGGGGTAGCCGTTGTAACTATACTGAGACCTTAGAACTTATATCTCGAGGTGGGTGGCGCATTTTACGTTGTAGATGTCTATGGGCTCCAGTAACCACTTAACATCAGGTGGGCTGTGAGCTCGTCCATCCATCTAGGCAATAAAAAAAAAAAAAAAAGATAGTGCACTAAATAAAGCGACACCATAAATAAACACAACAAAAGTCAGTAAGAGTTATGATTTTTGGTTTTGGTTTGGTGTATCCACGCAATTTCTCACTTATGCATTGATTGCAATAGCCCACTACCCAGTGTTACCAGAATCAGGTAATATACCACGATAGAAGTATCTTATGTGTTAATCCAAGATATCAATTTTTGTGTGAAATTTCATTCTAATCCTTATGACCAATTTCAAGTGATTGAGTAACAGATATCCTAACATACAAACATTTACATGTTTTAATATAATAGTGTAGATAAATTAAATGGTTAAATAACATGCCTGATAATCATTTCCATTTGAAAGACATATCCTTTAGAAACGCAGCTTAGAATAAGCTTCTCGAGAACTTCCTTTTTGTACAATCTGAAAGTTACAAAGTTAAATTATTATTATTTCGTAATTGAATAAATAATTAAAAATGACTTTTATGGTCTTTATGGTAAACATCAGAAACAATGTATGGGCCAATAGAAAAACAGAGATTAAATCTTAAACTGAATAAAATATTACTTAAATATGTATAATTTTAATATGGAAATAAGGAAAATAATCATAAAATATGCGGGATGTTAAGGTAATTTTCATTTCATTCATACAACAAACAGAAAACAAAACAAAATTGTAAAGCTCACTGGTATTTTTTTTTTAAATAAACTATGAATTAGTTGGACAGAAGAGTCCGCGTCTCATCTGGTGTTAAAAAGAGCCATTAGGCATCAGGACGTGAATGTCACCATCCATATTAAAATATAAGGTTGAATACTCAATTGTTCTACTCTTAAAACTAATATGGATCACTAACATACTATCTGTTCCCGGTATGAACCAGTATGTTAAAAACTACAACAAGATTTTAGTTGACAATTGAATAATAATTAATGAAAATAAAATTCAATAATAATGGTACCACTATTTAGTGTATTTCTGCTGCAAAACAGTCATATGGGGAGGAGAAAGGCTATTTGGTTTAAGCAACATTCTTGTAACTTTACAGGAGATCCATATTAAGTTTAAAATTTGAAAAAACTATAATATCAAAAAAACTTCATCAGCTGTTCTAATGGAGTAAAATTAATTGAAGTTCAATTAAAAACACCAAAATGTTGATGTGAATACAAAATAAAATGCACCTTTAATTATAAAGATAAATGACGAATATTAACAAAATGTCCCCTAAACCACTAACCCCTCTATGTTCTAGTTAGTAGGGTTCTTTCTCAAAGATTAAGATTATGTGTTTTATCAACATTAGGACATTCAATTGGGACGGTAGGCCTTTTCCCAATAACAATTAATGTATACATACCTAAATGAGCCAGTCAGATCTGAAACACCAGGTCTCAGCATTAATTGAGTCAAAAAGTTAGCTCCCCTAGATATGAGCTTACGCTTGAAGTCCCAGCCGTAGACTCCACCACTCCCCTTGTAACGAGTACCAGAGACAATATCGTAATCATATTTTAATTGGAGTTTAATGAACTCTGGAATGAACTTTGGCTGTGGATGTAATTTTTTTAAATTAAAAACATTAGATAAGCTTTTCAGTTGTATTTTGTATTCATATAATATTATTTATACATCAACACCATCATCAGCCCACAGATTTCCACTGCTGGACAGAGGCATTCCCCAAAATTTACTGCAATGACGTCTGCATAGCTCACTTTTAGCAGATTTTCATAAACTTTGGTAGGCCATCAATCTACCTTGTGAGAGGCCTATCTACACTGCATTTCCAATGTGTAGTTACCACTTGTTTTTTATTTTTATGTGTGACTAGTCTTTATTATATTTTATAATGATTTTTTTTGTCATAAGTTACAATATTATTCTAATGATAAATAGTATTTGTGATCACTCTACCTATGTGAGGGTTTTCAATATTGATATATTGATTCAACAGTTTGTATTTTTAGTGGTATGTTAATAGTATTTTTGTCTTATACTCAATCTTACATGATGGCTCAAATCCGCATCCATTATAATAATAAAATTTCCAGAAGCTTGCTGTATCCCATGAATGTAGGCAGTTCCGAGTCCAAGCTTCATCTCGCGAGGTCGAAGCACTATTTTAGAGGAGCCATACAGCTTCTGCAGCTGACGCGCCACTTCTGAAGTCCCATCAGGACTTCCATCATCTATTATGATCACTTCATAATCGACACCGCTGTTTACAAATATATTAATTAAGAACTTGACACTCAGCAATTTAGAAAATTATTCGAGAACACTAACCTTTCGTCTAAATATTTAATTATTAGCCATATTATTATAGGGAGGTTTTCTCGTTCATTGTAAGTTGGTAGTAAAATTGAGTATTTATCTCTTTTTATCAATCCCGAATCCACCTCCATGCTGTCAACAACAACTCAGTTTTAGCATAAAGGTCTTTAATGGTATGTTTTAACTATTTAAATTGTAGCTTGTATGGCTATTATCAACAGAATATGATATAACAAATTTATTTACATTTCAAAGTTTTTGACTTACACTTGGATTGTTTCCACTAATATGTGTATAATCTATGGTTTCCACAGTAATCCACAGACGTTAGATTTTTTTTATAAATTTTACTAGCTTGGAAACAAAGTTCTTTAAGCCAAAATGTTAGATTAATATATTAGAACCATTATTATTAAAATAAATATGTAAGTAGTTGTTTGAATTAAAGGACTGATTTGATAAATGTCAAAACTCAATCTGGTCTGTAAGGATTTACTCATACTTTGCGATTTTACGATAAGATACCTCATACCTGCGAACGGTGCTTTAGTTTGCAGCTACGCAGCAGATGTTAGAACAAGCATCAAACCAAGCAGCACCGGGTTTCGGACTATCCATCAGAACGTGTCCAGGGCATCGACAACGGTACTTGACTATTGTATGAGCTGACTTGGGCTATAAATTATATTTAGCAACGGATACGTTATGAGGGGTATTACCTCACATTGATTTGATAAATAAGTGTTGTAACAATGGCTTCGGCATTTAGTAACAAAATAAGAGATCAGTGTGAATGGTATAATCTACTATATAGGTCTATGTATAATCCATTCAACATTTTTTTGAAAAAAATAATTTTTTACTGACTTTAATTCCCATCAAATGTCAATGTCAATAAACTATATGTCTAAAAATAAAAAGAATAAAAATATTGAATTAAATGTTTTGGCGCATAAAAATTAAGGTTTAACAAAGTAATTTAATCTACTATTTAAATGATAACATAATATTATGATGACGTAAGTTACAGTTAAACAATAACGAAAATAGAACTTAGAACATAATCTTCAGGTCAAAGCACTTACACTTACACTTATGTTTCAGTGAGTAAGTAATAAGTGAAGTGAAAGTTACATCATTTTTCAAAGAAAATGGGTAAAACAAGCAAAGTTGTTGTATGTGGCATGAAGGGAGTCGGTAAAACAGCTATCCTAGAGCAGTTAATTTACGGGAATGTAAATTTGAAATCATGTTTTTATCCCACGATCGAAGACATTTATGTGGCGAACATCGAAACAGATCGCGGCCCGAAAGAACGCGTCTGTTTCTACGACACAGCGGGCTTGGAGCCTCCGCTTACAGGCGAGTTTAAAGGTTTTAGTAAATTTTGATTTTTCAGCTTGTCTTATTTTCACGCACCAGCTTTTTGCACGGGCTTCTTATTTTGTAAATATGAAACTAGGTTAATGTTGTCATATTATCATTTACAGAAAAAATACACGGCAGTTAATCAAATATTCGACACATCAACTTAATTGTATACCTGATCATGATAACTGTAATCGTAAGTCATAAAAAAGTATTCAAAACATCTGAAATAAAACTAATGACAAAAATAAAATCGAGATTAAACCATCGAAAGTAGTTTTAGTTATATTTATAACTTGCAAAAACTAAAGAAAACACCAGATGAAAATGTTTTGAGCTTCTGAATCGGCAATTGGTGGACTATTGGAATTTTTGTACTAGAACATAACTGACTGAGCCTGTCACATAAATTATTACTATTTACCTATACTGCTCAATGGGCTCAGTGGCGTGGATTGGGAGAGGCCTATGTCCAGCAGTGGACTGGTAATGATGATGATGATGACCTATATTGTCTGAAGAACTCAATTTTTTTTAATATTGTTTAGGTGGAGCTTATGATCCACCTGGTGTGTAGCTTATGAGTTGTTAGCCACCTGCCTTGAAACATTTGGTAGAAAACTCAATAGTTTTTTTATAAATTAAACCTGCCTTTTGTACATACCTCTTAAACTAACTCTTCCATGTATAAATACAATAGGACAACTAAAGTGGCGGATGAAAGGCGCATGCATGCAACAGAGATGCGAATGTTGCGATGGATGTGTGGAGTAACGAGAATGGATAGAATACGGAATGAATATGTTAGAGGAAGTCTGAAAGCGGCACCTGTGACAGAGAAGCTGAGGAGTGCGTTTGGGATGGTATGGACATGTGATGAGATGAAATGAAAATGAGGTTGGTAAGAGAATGTTAACTCTGAATGTGGAAGGATATAGAGGAAGAGGTAGACCTAAGAAGAAATGGATGGATTGCGTGAAAGATGATATGGGTAAGAAAGGAGTGAGCAAAGAAATGGTATATGATAGAACGATATGGAAGGAGAAAATATCTTAACAAAAGTACTTTTTCAGCTATTTCGATGAAGTAAACTTAATTGAAGTTCAATAAAAAACATCAAACTGTTGATGCTTATGTTAGGACGTGCATTTTTTTATTGCTTAGATGGGTGGACGAGCTCACAGCCCACCTGGTGTTAAGTGGTTACTGGAGCCCATAGACATCTATGACGTAAATGCGCCACCAACCTTGAGATATAAGTTCTAAGGTCTCAAGTATAGTTACAACGGCTGCCCCACCTTTCAAACAGAACAGAAATTTTATTACATAGATAAAAGTCGTGTATTATGGGAAATGTCCCTTAAACCAAATAGCCATTCCACCCCTCGAACTAAATTCTTTAAATGTATTAGCAATCTAGTATTTACGTGCATAATTATCGAAGTTACCCCCAAATGAAAGGGTAACAGATAGGGATCCTGAAAATGATACATTATGGAGCATATTCAATATTATTCAAATAAAAAAAACAGAATACAAGGAAGGAAAATAAAATGTTGGAAAAAATTATAATTTTAGAAATATGATATCAGGAAGATCAATACGTCCTAAGCCTAAATACATTTAAATAAAAATAAAATTTATTATGAATGTGATACTGTAAAGCTAATGTACTATATTATAAACTGAAAAGTGAGTTAAAGTAATTGATTATAATTGCGTTTTATATATACTATGTCAGATGTACAGAAAAATGCTCTATTCCGAAAGGATAGATTATTATACAGTGACATGAGTGAAGCAGCAGGCTGGTGTAGTCTGGTGTAGTGGTAAGTGACATGGTCACTACACAAGGGGGTCGCGGGTTCGAATCCCGCCAAGGGAGGATATTTGTATGATAAATATAAAAATGTATTTTCCAGGGTTATGGATGTATATTAAATATGTGTATGTGTATAATAAAAAATCTTACATTTATTTCCGTCATCTGGTACCTGTAACACAAGTTCTTTACGAACTTATCACAGGACCAGTTAACGTGGCGAGATTGTTAGTAAATATTTATTTATATTTATTAAAAAAAAAAGCTAGTTTAGCTTCTCAGTTTTTACTGGTGGTAGGACCTCTTGTCAGTCCGCGCGGGTAGGTACCACCACCCTGCCTATTTCTGTCATGAAGCAATAATGCGTTTCGCTTTGAAGGGTGGGGCAGCCGTTGTAACTATACTGAGACCTTAGAACTTATATCTCAAGGTGGGTGGCGCATTTACGTCGTAGATGTCTATGGGCTCCAGTAACCACTTAACACCAGGTGGGCTCTGAGCTCGTCCACCCATCTAAGCAATAAAAAAAATCATGAATAATCCTCCTCCTCCTCCTCGTGTCGTTTCCTCACTGCTGAGGGTCGTGACCATTATATGTCGACAGGATTTTGCTCCTTGTAATGTCCCGCCAGCGCCTCCGATAATTGGCCGCATAAGGGGCGTCGTGGAATGGGATCTCGAGTGATGGGATGAATAATCCAAAACACATTAAATCAGCTTTGAAAGTATGATGAAATTTTTCTAATGAACAGGTCCTCCGCAATCTCCTACAATGCAGCTAACGGCCAACCAAGTGCTCCAACGACACTATCTCGGTTTCTCAGAAGGTTTTGTCATGGTGTATGATACAGCGCGACCAGAATCGCTGGATGTGCTCATGTATTTAAAGAAGGACATAGATAGGAACAAAGATAAGAAAGAGGTGAGAGTTTTTACTTTTTGTCGTGGCCTAAAGGATAAGACGTCCGGTGCATTCGTATCGAGCGATGCAACGGTGTTCGAATCTCGCTGGCGGGTACCAATTTTTCTTATGAAATACGTACTCAACAAATGTTCACGATTGACTTCCACGGTGAAGGAATAACATCGTGCAATAAAAATCAAACCCGCAAAATTATAATTTGCGTAATTACTGGTGGTAGGACCTCTTGTGAGTCCGCACGGGTAGGTACCACCGCCCCGCCTATTTCTGCCGTGAAGCAGTAATGCGTTTCGGTTTGAAGGATGGGGCAGCCGTTGTGACTATATTAAGACCTTAGAACTATATCTCAAGGTGTGTGGCGCATTTACGTTGTAGATGTCTATGGGCTCCAGTAACCACTTAACACCAGGTGGGCTGTGAGCTCGTCAGCTGGTGTGTTTGGAACCATTAAATCGACTAGATTTGGATAGGATTCGTTGTATTCATGTGATATCTATGAATTATGAATACCTTATCGTACAGGTTACCAAGTATCAAAAACTCAACAACTGTTTAAGAATTCAAATAATGTATAGTACTTCGATTAGATTGAAATTCTACATTCGAATTTGACACTAACGTTGTTTTTTTTACAGAGTATTAACACTTATTGTAAAACAGTCAAATCATAGATGTCAAGATAAGTTTACAGTTTGTCTGGTGTTGGTTTGTCGGCTTGGCTCGGTAGGCTGCTGCTTGGCTCTGCCCCTGGCATTGCTATTGCTGAAGTCCATGGACGACGTTAACCACTCACCATCAGGTGGGCCGTATGCTCGTCTGTCTACACGGGCAATAAAAATAAATAAAAAATGAATATGGAGCCCATAGAAATCCACAACATTTATTTGCAACTGGTGGTAGGACGTCTTGTGAGTCCGCGCGGGTAGGTACCACCGCCCTGCCTATTTCTGCCGTGAAACAGTATTGCGTTTCGGTTTGAAGGGTGGGGCAGCCGTTGTAACTATACTGAGATCTTAGAACTTATATCTCAAGGTGGGTGGAACTTATATCTACATTTACGTTGGAGGTTTTGGTTGGTGGGTAGGGGAACTTATATCTACATTTACGTTGTAGATGTCCATGGGCTCCAGTAACCACTTTACACCAGGTGAGCTGTGAGCTCGTCCGCCCATCTAAGCAATAAATAAATAAAATTGCATCTCACCACAATCAGCTTTGGGTTCTTTTTTGGTAATTTGCCTAAATCTTTCTGTCACAGGTAGTAATACTAGTGATCGGTAACAGAACTGGACCAGATGATCCGAACAGCCTCGAGAACACCTGCTCCAAAGCCTCGAATTGGTGCGCACGCGAGAAGGTCAGACATTTTGAGGTGAACGCAATGGATCGTCCGTCCCTATATGAACCATTCATCTTCATGACCTCGAAATTGAACCCAGTACAGAATAAGACTACCTTCCCGCAACTAAGCACGTTAAGTAAGCTCACTCAGAAGAACAATAAAAGTGAAGCCATGTAACGGTACTTTTTCAATCTATGCCCTTTCTGCTATCAGCCTTAATAGGCATTATAGGTATTTTTAATGGGGGGGTTTACACTGCAATAGTTAAATCAAGAGTGTTACTCAATGTACAGAGACAAATTGAAACCGATTATAATTGTGATACCAGACTTGATAAATCATATCGAGGTGTGAAAGGCTATTTAGGTTAAACCGACATTTTTGTAACTGTACACGAGAACAATTTAAAGTTTATAAATTAGGAAATAATATCATAAAATAAATAAACAAAGAAGAAACAAAAAGAAATAAACTTCTTCCATTATTTGAATAGAGTAAATTTAATAGAAATTCAATTAAAAACATCGGACTGTTGATGCTAATACCAAATAAAACGCATCTTTAATTACAAAGATAAATGTAGCGTTTTAAGCGAAATGTCGTTTAAACCAAATAGCCTTTCACTCCTGTATACATATTTATATTTAACTTAAACATATAAAATTTTAAGATGGCAAAATATTTGTTAAGGGCAAAGCCCTAACCCCCCCTCCTCAACTATGTACCTGAATACTTCACGCTTATATTCAAAAACATCATTTCAAATTACTATCCTAGATAGAATTTCATTGATCTCATTATATAGAAACAAATCTATGAATTTAAAACCTTTTTATGTCATACAAAATGAAATTTAACTTTTGAATTTTTCAAAGATAATGAAAAATGCATATGATATTAATGACATTAATTTAAAATAAATAAATCAATGATTTATATTTTAGTTTTAAGTATATTAAATCATGAAGTTTTTAGGTAGTAATAATTTGTTTAATTGCATTATTGTGGTAAAACAATGAGAAAAACACATTTTAAAATTTTAAAAAATACATATTTTATTGACACTTCGACGGATCGTGCGATAGGCACAAGCTAATCAAATAGTAGTATATAAAAACAAAATCGCGTTAATGACCGCCTCTGTCTTCCTAAATAAATCCAAATAATTAATTGTAATTTTACACCAAATTTAAAAGACACTTTTGGCGGCCATTTTGACGTTGCGATTAAATATGCATATGGCGGACGAAAAACGCGGTATATATTTTTTATCAATAATTAATTATATAATATTGTTAATTTAATATATAATCCGCCCTGTTTTATTTATTAATTTCGTCATCGAACATTTCGCCGTGAAAATAAAAATTAAAGGGGGCATAGATTAGACTAATAAAAACGTGACTTAACTTCAAGTACTTAAGATTTAATCTCGATTATTAAATAAATGATAAGTGCAATATTTATCTTTTAAGAAGTTATTATGGTGCTTGAAAAAAAAAAGCTTGTGAATACAATAAAAATCGTGATACTTTGTGCTTTGATGTCTTACACGTCTTCACACGTTTATTGTATAAAAACAGTATTTGAGTCGTCTATTATCAAAGGTGGCAATCTGTACATTTGGACAAAAATTTTTTATTTATATGTCAATACAGATTTATTTGAATATAATCGTCTCCTTCAAAGAATACGGTTCAAAACCTGCATTAAATAAAGATTAATAGTTAACCTGTTATTTATCTAAGATGTCGTTCCGAAGAGTTTTGTGACTGCCAATGGAGTACAAAGTCAATAATTCGTTTTTCTGATTTACCAATCATTGTCCAAAAGTCAGATTGCCGCCTTTGATAATAGTCGACTCATTTACAGTATTTTTAATTTTGTATTACATGACCAACAATAGCTTCACAGCTCGTGTTTAGATCGCCAACAAAAATAATAGACTCTAAATTTGTTTAAAAAAAAAATGTCAATAATTATGATATTTCGAAATTTTTAATAGACCAAAAGTTTAAGAAATTCAAAAAGGGACGCACATAAAATGTATCGATATCGGAACCTGCGGTCTCCACACAGATGGCAATGCAAACGCATTGGTTCAATTTGCATTTGGCTGCCAACTAACAGCCACAATGTAAAACATAGTATTTTGTTTTGTAAAATTAATCTCAGCACTTAGTAATGTCAGTCGTGTTATTATATTCCTAGTTAATATTTAATAATGCGATATTAAATGAAGTCTTCGTGGCCTATGGGATAAGACGCCCGGGGTGCACTTATTGAGCGATTACATGTACCTGTGCTCGAATCCCGCAGACTGATGCTATTAAAAAAATAATGAAATACGTATATTTAACACAAGCTCACGAACAAAACTCCCTTGAAAAACGATTTTTTTTTTTTTAAATCAAAGTCACAGCACCTATTTTGCGTATTACTAGTGGCAAGGGCATATTGTAAGTCCCATCATTATCTAATGCCAATTTCTGCCGCGCTGTATTCGTATTTACCGGAAATGAGACTTCGAACTCACGTCTCAAGGCGTGAGGTTCGTGATATCGATATGCTTCGGTGGCCACTGGCGTAACAAAGTGGGCCGCGAGTTCGTTGTTATAAATGCAAAATAAATAAATAAAGTTGTCTCTAAAGTCGGATTGCGGACGATAGTTTTACGTGATAATGTCAGCCATTGTCAGTGGCAGAACTATTCGAACTGCCAGCTCACGCGAAAAGAGAGCTAAATGTGTCACAAGCCAACGTTTGGGCCGATTGTGCCTCTATTGCTTGTTCCGTGCTCTCGCTTGCACGCTCAAACTCAGGCGGAACGTGACACTTTTTTGTGCGTGCAGCCGGTGTTCGTCGTCCTGAGGTTATCACGTTAAAAGCAAATCGTCGTTGTCAAACTAAAATCTACTATGTGCACTTTTTGAGATTTTTACTTTTTGAACTTTTCGTATAGTTCACAGCCCTATCTACAGTATAAAAAAAAACTGTTATGTGTCTATAGCTTTAATATTTATCTATAGCTTTCATTTGATATAACAGTTTTTAAAAATTCACCTTCATATAAAATTTTATACGAAAATGTTTTTACTCGTCAATTCAAAATACAGTTTTTGCACATAGCAGATTTTGATTTGACAGCGACGATATACTAAAATCGCGAACTAACTGACACTTGACAGCCTCAAATAGGGCCACAGATTACCGGTACTAAATTTATATCCAGTTAATACCATAGAATCTCTTTGAATATTATGACAATTTTATTTAGTATCTTAAGTATAAATTATGTAGTGAATTATTTTTTTGTAGTAATGTTCGTCGAATAAATGTTATGAAATAGCATTTTTGTATTAATTTATGCTTCGATCAACAATTGTATACTTCCTGGACGTTGCGGGCAGACGGCACACTTAATAGAAAATGTTATGTATGAGTTATATACATGAATTTTTTACTAATGGGTAGCTAATACGATGTAGAATAATTTTAAGTAATAAAAAAGTAGGTAAAGGGGGCGTATTTTTGAGAAATTTTAGGATTGTTGTAAAAATTTATGAAAAGATAACAGATTTATACTAAAAAAAACATGTTTATTTTCAATTGAGCTTAGGTTTTCTCCCACTTTTTCATCTTATGAGGACGCCTAAATACTTCCAATCATGATGGAATTTGTTTAACAGCGATAGATTATTTAGTTCAAAAGTTACACAGGTTTGTTTACACTGAAGTCACAGTAGAGAAGAATTTTTTTTAAAAAATCATAAAAAAATCAAAAATTTTTTTTAGCATTTTTTAAATATTTTTCCCTCGATAAAATTAAGCATAGATTCCCTCATTTCGATATGTGCACATTATAAAGAATCCCACTGTATAACTAGATAAAGGGACGTACAAAATCAAAGCAAAAGCTGTCCGCGTCAATATACACATACCTAAATAGCTACATTTGTTTACTAATAAACGGAGAAAAAAGTTTTGAAACAGTTTGAAGTTCAACCTAATTACAACTATGTCACCTAGTAATAAAGTCACAAATCTCCAAAACATTACCTAATACTTACGATAATTCGGCACATAAAATGAGCAAAGCAATAAATTACTCCTGTCACTTACAAATGAAAAGACCTAAGTTAAAACAACATTTAATGTGAAATCAACCTTAAAAGGCAACAAATAAAGTATTTTTTTCCGTTATTGCCCTGAGAGCTACATCGTTTTATTTTGTTTTATTTTGCTTCTTGGAATTTCGATTTCTATTTACTACAGGAGGTATGGGAGTCGCGTTGAACACTAAAATAATTTATTATACGAATAAAAGTAAAAGTTTAGTTGTTTACTTTTTATGTTTTGGGCATGTTTGTTATTATCTATACATTACTTATTATTTTATTAGCGGCACGTTTTTGTGTAATATGTATTTTTATAGTATATTCATAAGTTTTCGCGAGTAGTACATATAATAAAACAACGTTTAAACGGTTTTAAGCGCGGTATTTTTATTACAATGTTTCGGCAACTTTTCAGTGATCACGGAAGACAAAGATATCCAGTGTCAATGAGTAATGTTAAAGTTTTTATTTAGCCTACCGCCAATTTGTTAATTGTAATTTGTTGTTGTACGTATGAAGTTACTATCATACTTTTTTTAGTAAAGATTACAACTACAATTACGAATACAATTTAGGATAACGCTTTCAGTTTTCATACAAATAGCAAATACATCGGTAGAGGCATAGAATAATCCGCCCATGTCTCTTAGGTCTATTAATTTGTGAAAGAATTGTTTCTCTGTTGCACACAAGTTCTTTATACACTGGTCACACTTTAGTTTTTTTACCAATTTTACTTACAACGAATCCCGAAATATATATAACACTAGAAAATGGACTTTCATCCAATGTTGAAGAAAGATTATTACAAATTGTTTGATATTTTTGAAAACTTTGCTGTACGTATCTGTTGTTTAAAACTCTGTATCACTAGAATTTGTCTCTTGACTTACATCAAGGCGATATCCTATCGAGGTGTTATTAATCTTATCCGGAGATGGAGTTCCAGTTAGGATTGGTATATTGTCAAGTGGAAGACAATTGCCAGTAAATTTTGAACTCAGTTCCACATGAGACAAAAGTTGTAGCTTGCTTTGAATTGCTGTTAGGGTTATTATTATGCCCATTTAGACGCCAAAAAACAACTCTACATGGTGCTGACTGAATTTTTAGGCTAATAAAAATGAAAGGATGTTCATTTCAAATAAGTATGTCAAGCTACTGATGCACGTAAGAAGCCCCAGCCCACCAGTATTAAGTATTTTGTGTCTTAAATAACGGCACTATTCTATTCCAGAACACTGTTCTAATGTTTTTTTGTATTGAACTTTAATGGACAAGAACGACAATATTTACGCAAAATTACTTTTACTAATAGGCTTTTTAAAACCGTAGTCTTTCATTTCAAATTTCGTGTGTTAAAGGTATCAGTTAGATTATTTAAAATAGTTATAAATTCCGCAGTACTAGCAGAATCTTGGGATTCAGCAATTTCCAAAGTTTTGTCACAAAATTCTAATTCTTTTAAGACATCCCTGCTCAGTAGCTGTGTGGGCAATCTAATGTTCGCTATTTGATTTTTATAAAATAACTGCTAATGAGATAATTTATTTGCTAAATGTAAACTGTTTTCCTCTTGCAAATTGTGTAATTTAATAATGAGTTGCCACTTAATCTGTTTTTCATCAGATGTCTGTAATTTCTTTTTTTGATTCAAAAGTATTTCTCATTAACTTTACCATAACATGACAAGCATCTAGGTACACAACAATATCGTAATCGACACAAGGATTCTGCATGATTTATTTCGCACTCTAACATTTTCATGGTTACAATTTTACTTTTATAACCATCAAATGTTACCGAACAAATCTGAACCCCTATTTTTTCTCATTTTTCTAGTGCTGTCTCTTAGTCGAATTGGCTTTCATGTCTGTCAATGTGTCAATGAAAAAGCAAGCCAGTGGTAAT